CCTAAGATAGAATCAAATTAGATAATAAGAGATTTAAAAAAACACGAATTCCACAATAAAAGTACAAAAAACAAAATGTGCCTTTAATTACGTGTAAGGAAAAAACCCCGCTACCAGTTCTGCCCTGAACCAAATAATTTTGTGTCTCTCTCACTTCTCTCTCCTACACCCGTTTCTCCCTTTTGACTTGCTTTTCGGTACCTCTCCGTCTCAGAGAGAACCGATATTCCTAAATCGCGGTTTTTCAAAGGGACGACCTTCATCTGCTTAGAACCGAGCCTTGACACGTTCCCGTGCATCCGACTTGCACTCAGCCCTTTCAACCCTTTTTAGCCTGACGTCGACAAGGCAGTGCCTTCACAGCGTCGGTGGGAATTTTTTTTCCCCCTCTTACAACTTCAACCTACTCTTTGTTCTTTGACCTGTGTGCTCACAAGCAACCGGGTGTTGAGATCACTTCATACCGAGAAATCGACGGCCCATTTATCAATGCGATTTGTGGTCTAGACGATCCTCCTAGCAGATACAACTCCTTCGACTTCCCTTGCGACCCGATACCCCCCGTGGTCCTTCGTCTCGCTACGCACACGAAATCGTCTTTTCGACACACAATTGAGAGCCTCTCTGAAAAGAAAGGAAGCTGAAGATTAGTGGGGTTACAAAAAGCTGGAATCTTTCCCTTTCTTGATTTCTACTTGCGCAGGTGCCATCTCGCCCTAGGCGCAGACTGATATCCAGAGTCCCCCAAGGTCGTCCGGGTAAAATATCCCGCACCTCAAATTTTTTTTTCACACTCGATCAGAGCTACAAAAAGCTCTCAATCCGACATGTCTACGTTTTCGTACGCACAAGCCGCCAAGGGCGTCTCCGGGACACCGACCCCGTCCAAGACCCCTTCAGAATCTGAGAAGACCGACTCCAAACCGGAGGAGCAGACCGCCGTTGAGACTACAACGGATGACGCACCAGCCCCCACTGAGTCTGAGCCCGTCGAAAAATCCGAGGTAGCAGCAGAGGAGAGCAAGGATGATGATGATTTCACCACCGTCACCAACAAGCATGCCGCCAAGACAAAGGCTATTCACTCTCGAACATCAAGCCCGAGCGTTCGCACAGGCTCAAAGTCGCGCAAGTCAAAGGATGACGACTCAAATACCCCCAACGGCAACATAGAGGCTGCCGCTGAGAAGCAGGCCCCCAGTGAGGGAACCGAGAAGGCCGAAGGTGCCGCAGAGAAGTCTACTGAAAAGTCCGAGGATTCCGAGAAGACCGCATCACCACCCAAGGAGCTGAAGGCTGCTCCTCTCCCATCAGTCAACATTTGGCAACAGAGACGAGAGGCCCAGGATGCCAAGGTCAAGGCTGTCCCCAAGTCCGCTTCCACTAGCAAGGCCGCCTCCAAGGCTTCGACTGTTGATGAGACCCAGCAAGACTCCAAGGCTGGCTCTAAGAAGAAGGGTGCCGATGGCGCACAGGAAGGTGCCAAGGATCGCAAGAAGACCGATGGTGGAAAGGGACGCGATGCTGGATCTGTTCCCCCAGTAGAAGACGCTACTGCTTGGCCTACTCCCCAAGTTGCGATTGGCGAAGAGAAGAAGAAGGTTCAGGAGAAGACTGATAAGAGCCCCGTCATCAGACCTCATGGAAAGGAAAAGTGGACTCCCGTTCCTTACGTCCCTACTGCTGTTTTCAACACCCCGCTCCCATCTGCCGGTGGCCGTGGAGGTAGACGCGCCACTCGCGGTGGCCGGGACAGTGGCCGTGGAGCTCACGGCAATGGAGCCTCTACCACTGACAAGGCTGCCTCTGGACAGGCCGCCCAAGGCGCAAAGCCTGCTTCTGGAGATCGCGGACGCCACGAGTCTGGCACTGGACGTGCCGCCTCCCTCCCCGCACAGTCAAGACGGTCCCCCAGCGCCGACGCCACTGCTGCAGCTGATGCACGCAAGGCTTCCCAGGCACCCGAGCGTGGCCGTGGAGCTCGCAACGGAGAGGAGAACAAGCAGGTGAATGGCGGAGAGAACGTCCCCCGCTCTCAGCGTGAGGGCAAGTCCTTTGGAAGAAACCAGGATGCCCGCGCAGGTGACCGCAACCAGAAGGGTGGAAACCTGGCCGTTGACTCGCAGGCTGCTGCCCGCGGCGGTCGCTTCGAGGCCGGATCAAAGTCTGCTGACCCCGCCGGTCTCAGTGAGTTCAATCGTGAACGTGGAGAGTTCCGATCTGAGCGTGGAGGTCGTGGATCTAACCGCGGCCGCGGTGGCGCTTACAACAACTTCGGCGGCCAGAACGCCCAGTTCAATGCCTCCATGTCCAACTCATTCGGTGCGCCCAAGTTCGGCTTCAACGACCGTCAGCGCTCACAGCAGCATGGCCTCCCCAATGGAGCTCAACAAGGAAACCGTATGCCCCTCCGATCGCCCTCTTTGCCCACTCCCGCAAATATGTACGGTGTTGTTTATCCTTTCCCAGGTGATATCAACGCGATGTATGGCTACCCAGCTGTCAACTCGGCCCCGATGAGCGCCGTTCCCTACCAGCAGCAATACGTGGAGCCTTTCTCGCTCATGAACATGCTCTCCATGCAACTGGAGTACTACTTCTCCGTCGACAACATGTGCAAGGACATGTTCCTTCGTAAGCAGATGGATTCTCAAGGCTTCGTCCCTCTGAACGTCCTTGCCAGCTTCAAGCGTGTCAAGTCTCTCACTGAGGACTTTGAGCTCCTTCGTCACGTGTCCCGTCAGCTCCGCAACGTCGAGTGCCAAACTGGTGAGGATGGCGTTGACCGCCTGCGCCCCAGAGACAAGTGGCAGCAATGGGTCCTTCCCGTGGACCAGCGCGAACCTGCCGCCCAGCATGACGGTGCCGCCCCTGCTAGAAAGACTGACGAGAACACCCCGGTTCACAGCCACGAGAACGTTATCAACGGATCCGCTCCTCAGTTCGTCCCCAACGGTGTCGCTCATGATGTCAAGACTTCACTTTCGTCTACCGCCCCGGAATTCATGCCCTCATTGCTACCCACCGCAGTGAACGAGATTGCCAGTGTAGGAAACCCCTGGAACTCCCCCGTCTCCCCCGATGCTTCGACGACATCTTTTTATTCGTCGTCGTCGTCGTTTCCCGTGGATCATTCATTTATTGACAATTCTTCAGCGCGCGGATTAGATTCGCAGTCCGAACCTCCTTTCCCCTCTGATTTGGAACCCACGGTGGCCCCAGTGAGGTATGCTGAACTCTTTGAGAATGTATTTTATGTGAGGCACTGACTGACTGTATGAACAGCTTCGACGCAGATTACTCTCAACACCAAATCGGCGGTGCTGATTGGTTGATCAACAACTCTTTTGCCGAAGCGCATCAACCGGCGCCCAAGTCAAATGGGAAAGGCCGTTCTTCCACAGAAACGTCAAATTATGTCCCAAAATCTTTCAATATGTCTCACCAAGAAACTTTCGATGGCCGAGACCGACCGGTGGCAAGAAGGTATAGCTTTGGAATGACCCAGCATTACCAATCCTGGTCGTCCAGTTTGACAAAACATTTCAATTCGCATCTGTACAATGAATTTAGGCGTTCTGCCCTTGATGATCTTTTGACTCGACACATTGACAACGGTTTCATCGAACTCATGGAATTTTATCGGAATTGCCTGCTTCACCGCCGCCTCAATCCTGACCTCGTGATGTACGACTTGGTCCATCTTTCGCAAGATCGAACATCGCACTATCACACCCTCGTCTCCAATACGATCCATGAAACCATTGCCAGTGGAAAGATGAAATTACACAACCGGGGAAAGATCAGCAAATATTTCAATACCCAGCACGGCAAGAAGGCCAGAGAAAAGTTATCATGAGCCCTTTTTTGCATTTCCTTTCTGAATTTTGCTTCTTTGCGACACGTCTATTTCCTGCTGCTTGTTCATCCTCTCATGGCCAACATTATTCTTTTTCTTTTTGTTCAAAATGGTCTTTTTTTTTGCATGCATATTCGCCAACTTTTCTTCTAGAGTTCCAAGTGACCCCTTCATTTCAATAACGCGGTCTGGCTTCTCGGTCAACTCGAAGCTTCGGAGTTCTCTCTCATCTCCTCTTTTTCTGTTTAATTTTCATTGCTTTTCAGTCATGGGAGGTACTCAAAACGTTCTGGCGTCCGGACATGATTTTACTGGCAGTCTTCTTTCTTTGCCTGCCACTACGGTGTGCCGGGCCCCCCAAAATTCGTTTTTCCACCCTTGACATAGATATTTCCACTACTTTTCTTGTTTCCTTCCTGACGTTGTGGTTTCCCTTTATCCAGTCAATTTCCGATCCAGGCCCTTTCATCGGCTCTGGATCTTAACAAGTATCAGCATGGCAATGACCCAGAGAAAAGCATATGTCTTAAAAAGTCTTGTCTGAGGTTATCTGTGTGTTTCTCGAGTTTCGTTCATGGTGCCAATCGGAGAAAATGAATCCAGCATATCTACATTGCCGATCTCTTTCCTGGGTGACCATGCATTCGGTCTACCTAGCTCTTCTTTGGACGACTCTTCCGAGGTGGATTGATCCATCTCAGTGCTTTGTTCTTCTTGCTGGAGATCTTGCAAGGAGGATTCTCTTTTCTGTTCTTTGTTATTTGCATAAACCGGACTGTTCAGGTCTTTGTGGAGTAATATGATTGATATGATTGATATGCATACTATGTACTCCATGATATTGAACTTGTTTTGTAAGACATCTGGAGAAATGTCAATTGTAAGACGTGTATCAAACTACACAATCAGAGTCATCTGTATAAACCGTCTAAGGTTGGAAGTAAAAAGTAAGTCGCATCTGATGGAACGAGGTCGATCATCCCTGCCTCAGGCAACAAGATCTTGCAATCCAAACGGAGATAATTCAATCCCGATCCGGCTCTAACAGCTCCCTTTCCCCTCTCTAGCTCTTTTCTACACGTCCAATCCACTGTTCCTTTCATTTAAACATCTTTGCATCTAAACTCACCTCTTTTTCAAGATGGAGGGCGCATCCCGGCAAACGTCACGGCTACTCCGGCCTCGTGGCCAGAAACTCCTTCCCCAACGTCTCACACGAACCTCCACAGTCACCGCCACACCATTCACCCAGATTCAACGACGGACATTGTCGAATTCTCCTCAGTCTCTTGCCCCAGAGTCTCTTTTCAACAGCTTCAAAAATGGCGGCTCATACAACGAGGGACCCACTAGCTATTTCTCCAACCGACAAACCCTCCCCGCGAACACCGTTGTGCGGTTCGTCCCACAACAGACAGCATGGATCGTCGAGCGCATGGGAAAGTTTGACCGTATCCTAGAACCCGGTCTTGCGATCCTTGTGCCATTCCTAGACCGAATTGCCTACGTGAAGAGCTTGAAGGAGGCGGCTATTGAGATCCCCAGCCAGAACGCCATTACGGCGGATAATGTCACCCTGGAGCTGGATGGTGTGCTATATACGCGTGTTTTCGATGCGTACAAGGCAAGGTGAGTGATTTGATGGCGCGTTCTTCGTTGCTGTGTGTAATTGGACCAGTCGGAACAAAGCAATCGCTAATACGTCAGTCAATTGTAGCTACGGAGTCGAGGACGCAGAATACGCTATTTCCCAACTCGCGCAGACGACTATGCGTTCTGAAATTGGTCAGTTGACCCTCGATCACGTTCTTAAGGAACGCGCCAATCTCAATACAAACATCACCAAAGCTATCAACGAGGCCGCTCAGGAATGGGGTGTCGTCTGTCTCCGATATGAGATTAGGGATATCCACGCGCCCGAGGCCGTCGTTGCTGCCATGCACCGCCAGGTTACTGCTGAGCGCTCCAAGCGAGCTGAGATCCTCGAGTCTGAAGGTCAACGTCAGAGTGCGATCAACATTGCCGAGGGTCGCAAGCAGTCTGTTATTTTGGCTTCTGAGGCTCTGCGCTCTGAGAAGGTCAACCACGCTTCCGGTGAAGCCGAGGCTATCAAGCTTAAGGCCGAGGCTACCGCGCTCGGTATTGACGCTGTTGCTAGGGCCATCGAGGAGGGTGGCGATAATGCTCACAACGCTATTAGCCTTAGCGTCGCGGAGAAGTACGTTTCAGCTTGGTCGAACCTGGCACGCGAGGGCACAGCTGTTGTTGTTCCTGGCAATGTTGGAGATATGGGTGGCATGATCGCCAATGCCATGGCTGTTTATGGCAAAGTCAGCGAGACACAGGCTCGGGGCTTGGCAAAGAAGTCTCTTGGGATCGAAAACAACTCTCAATCATCGGAGAAATCGGAAAACAGCCAGGTGCCGACTTTTTTTGAGGAACAGGCTGAGCAGAACACCGCCTCGAAGACTGCGCAGGAGGGATTTGAAGTGGCCGCCAACGAGCACAAGAAATAGGCGTCTGTACTTCACCCAGCCGACACGCGAACGACGACTCCTCTCCTGATGTGACTTTTATTCCCTCCTCCCATTCTCCTTTTTGTTCTGGCACGTCACTCTGCTCTTCCACATTCTTCTTGAATCGGGCTCCTTATATGTATCCACCACTCCCCACTTCCATTTCCTACTTTTCCCGCTCCTACTGCCTGTTATCTTCCCTTTGTTTCCCGGCATTTGTTTAGGAGTCTTCTAAAACGCCCGAGCTTTGCTGTGCATATGGCATCGGATTCGCCATATTGGTTCCTGTATGTGTACATAAAGGAATTGTTGTTGATCAGAGAGCCTAGAAGGATGGAAAATATCTCAATGTACAAGTATCTGTACCTTATACTGCTTCAGGATTCTTAGGTCCGTTGTGAGATATTGAATGTAATTTGTGTCAGATCAGCTCTTTGTTTTCATCACTAGTATGATTCTTGTGGATCCAGTTATTTTTCAACATCCACCTCTTCAAGAGGCCATCTACTAAATTTACTACAAATTACCACAAGGGAAATGGAGGTCACTGAAACAACTTTAGAAATGCATCGCTAACAGCTCTTAGGAAAAAGGGAATCTCAGTTAGTTCAACCTAAACAAATAGATGAGAAACGTACCCTAAAATGATTAGAATCAATCAACGGAAACAGATATAGGAATAGGTTCAATGTCAAACCTAATCTCAAGCGAAGCACTCTGATCCCAGGTCAAAATCCTAGCAATATAATACGTACCTCTAGGAAAAATCTCTAGAACCAGATAAACCGCACACTTCCCAATACGCGTACCAAGCAGACCCTGGTACTCAGGCGTGTTATACTCCCAGATCCGCGGATCTCGACAGACCGGAGGCCAAGTAAGACCATTGCGCGGGGAGTACAGAACATTCTGCACAAAGTTCCTAGTATGTATATTGACGATATCACAAACGTAGAAGTGTCGTAGACTCTGGGGATCAGCAATCTCCTGCATATGAGCTCGGGCAATCTGTGAAAATTGTGGCCCGTCGATTCTGAATATCCCCTCGGCGATGACCAGTCCCTTTCCAACTACGATGTCGTAGACGTTCTCGCATCCAGCGGCCCCGAAATTGCCCTTAGCATAACTTTGTGCCAATGTCTCGTTGTAGATTGCTTCATCGGCATATCCTAGAGCGAAGGCGTTGTGAGAAACTTGGAATGGGATGTTACCCTTGATAGTACGGATGCACCAGTGTGCTGTTATGAGGTCGTCGACGGTTAGGGTACTAGGTTGGATTTTGCAGGTGCTGTCTGTGGGGTCTTCAAGCCATCGTTGTCGGATAGCTCCTGAGTCTTGGATTCTGCCGTATCGTCGTGCTGGGGTGGAAGTTGCTGGGGATGTGTCTGGAGTGGTGATTGGAATGGGGGGAACATATGGCTGCCTTGAAGACGCCATACTGGCCAGTATCTCGCCCGTCAATGGTTCAAATTAGCATTGGATATTTATAGTACATGGAGATATATTTAGGATCTGGTAGAGCTGGTATAGATGTTCCATGCAAAGAAGAAAAATAAGACCATTGGACAAAGACGACAATGAGAGAGTCTGGATAAAGAATGAAGAACCCTGTTTCAAGAGCTTTGTGCTTCTTTGTGCCAATACCTGTTTATTTAAACAAGACAATTCCAACTCAGATGACAATAAAAGCCTGGGAATTTCCACCTGATCGAGTCTTTCTTCCCATCTCTCACTCACTATCTACAGGTCCTAGATCAGAGTGTCCACCTCTAGAGACTATCAAAAACACTGTCTCATCCCACTCGCAACAATGTCTTTGTCTTTCACCAAGCCCAGCCACCTGACCTATGAACGTCATTTCGAGCGTGAATGCGAGCTCTTCCAGGAAGCCCTAGAAAGGGAGGCCTACTCACTTCATAATATGGAAGATCGCCGCGCAGGTACTATTCAAGTGATTTGTGATTTGATTGTTCAGCTGGAGGTCCTCGGACATGTCGCTGAGACTATGGCCAGGAAATCCCCGATGTGTCCCACTGTCCTGATCAGCCCGCCTAGTTATTTCACTAGTGAATTCCAGGCTTTTTGTCGTGCGAAGATTCTGCCTGCTTTGGTTAAGTCGCTGACTTGCCTTAGAGAGTCGACTACTATCTATCGTGATATCAACTATACAGTTGCTGGTCAGTTGGAGGCGATCCATGATGACTTGGCTTTTATTTTGGATTGTCGGGAGTAGTTAGACTGCGTTGTGTGGACTCTGTTTTGTTTGGCTAAGATGCTGAGTTATCTTAGCAAGTTGTATTGATCTACTTTGAGGTTAGATATACAGATTCTGTTCGGCCTTAAGAGAACATGGCCTTGGCTAGAAGAATAAAATGATTTACCCCAGTTCGTATTCGAATTTTATATCCGTAGCTTAAGAAGATGTCTAGTATAGATATGTCCAGGGCATTTGGCCTACATCGTACACGGCCTCTTAGTCTGGTCTGATTCATGTCTCTTGTATACTCGAAACTACTTGCTCCATAGTATATCTCATTTCACCGCTTCTAATCATCTCGTTTGTTAGATTAAGTGGCGGTCGGTACATCACATACTCATTTTCGAGGCCTGAAGCTGTATCTGCACTCTCTATCACACTCCAATGCACCGGCAGGTGACCGTCACACTTCATTTGTATATATAGGTCCAACGAAGACACTATAAAGCGTCAAAGCAACGTCATAAATGCTGGAACCCCCACCCTAATCAGTTACTGGTATATTAACTCCCATTCTCCCTCTTTCCCTCTTAATCTTCTTATATTCTCTACACCTCATCTCCAAAGCAACGTAGTCTGAAAATCACCCACAAAATCATCCACCATGTCTAGTTCTGGACAAGGATACACCACTGACAGCTCCGGCACCAGCAGTCAGGTATGCTCCCTCCCAATTTCCCCCTCTATGTCACCAAGACACAATATATGCATATGTTCTTGATGAATGTTAGAATATTAGAATATCATCAATATGTTACTTACATCGAACTAGGGCAACCACTATTGCTCTCGCGACTACGGTGACAGCGCGTCCAACTCGAACAGCTACCACTACTCTAACACGTATGTACCTGGTTTGAATGAAGCTGCTATGAATGTGAAGTGAGCAAAACAGTATATTATGACTGTTTGTTCTAGCAATGGCTCTTACTACTACTCCAACCCCAATGGAAGCTCCTACTACAACAGCGGATCGGGAAGCTCGACCTACACTGCCCCCTCTGGAGGATCCGGTGGATCCGGCAAGAAATAAATTTCCATGTCATAATGTCGGCAAGTGATTGATGTATCATGACGACTGAAGTTATGGGAATAAACAATGAATGTTGATTTAGATGTAGTAAGCATATCTAGTAGAGAATCTTCGATCACTCAATGCTCGCATAGATTGATGTACTGTTCCAAAAGAAAATCATTAATTACCTATTTCAAAGAGGTCTTTCTCTCTAGAAGTTTTGATCTGTATTGTTTGGCTTCGTTATCATAGAGACATCTAGATGTTTCACCCCTCCTTCGCTAAGATATGAAGCTCAATGACACTGAGCCCTAACATGGAACTCTGTAATTAGATTGTAAAAGTATCATATACGAGTGTCTGATACTTGCATTTTTTACTATAATCATTCATCAAAGATGTCCGTGTATACACCAAGGCCATACTTTCTGGTATAGAACCATGTTTGCCCTGTAACGCTTCGTTTGATGAAACTAGTAAGCACAAAAAGATATCACAAAAGAAAACATACAAAATGATCATGATCCCCCTCAAAAGAAAGCAATAAGTGCGAGCTAGTTGCTAGCCCTTGCAGTGTAGTTCAAAAGACTATCAACGCGGGAGCTCGGACCAGGCAAATCTGGAGATCGCGACTTTTGGATTCGCGCCCTTTTAATCTCCGGTCTCATCTCTCACCTGTGCCTGAGCTTTATAATTTTTTCTTCTTTTAATTCTTGTCGCCGAGGAACCTGTTTGTTTTGGCTCTTGCCATGTTCCTCGTCAAACTCATATAATTACCCTAAAAACCAGTTGTCCGACACGCCGCGCTCCCCTCCTTACCCACGCTCCGCGCACATTCGTGCTGATACGTGTCGCACGACCTTAGTCTCGAGACACGACCACTCAAACCTTTGAGCAATAAGCGAATAACCGTGACTCTGCTTCGGGGCTGGCGCGATGCATATTATCAAGCCGGTTTGGCTCACCCATGGAGGTACGGAGCTTGATTCGCCCTGGTTTTCTTTGCTCGACACCGTTGGGACGGAGACACAGTGCTTCATGAGAACATAACCAAATCACCCCAAAGGGCCAAATTTGCTAATGGAATTGCTCTGATACAGGTGAACGCAAGGATTTCGAGGTTTACAGCTGCGATGTCTCGCCAGATGGGAAGCGACTGGTCACAGCTGCTGGAGGTGAGCTCGACCCTTTTTTTTTGCTTTGAGTTGGAGGCCATAAAGATCATGCGCCGCCGAGAGAATCCTCGCTGACATCCTGGCTCTTTATTTGCTTTAGATGGATACGTGCGAATCTGGTCAACAGATGCTATTTACGGCACCGGAACTCCCGAACTTGAGGGCAAGCCAAAACAACTGGCGTCCATGAGTAACCACTCAGGCACAATTCATACCGTCCGCTTTTCACCCAACGGGAAATACCTTGCGTCAGGCGCAGATGACAAGATTGTCTGCGTGTATACCCTGGACGCTAATCCTCCTACACACTCGTCAACATTTGGTACGCTTTGGACACCCTGGATACGGAGAGATGGAGGCAGAAACTGACAGCCATGGGAAAATTCTTAGGCAGCGATGAAGCACCCCCCGTTGAAAACTGGCGCACAATTCGGCGATTGATCGGTCACGATAACGATGTCCAAGATCTCGGATGGTCCTTCGACTCATCGATACTGGTCTCCGTAGGGCTGGATTCAAAGGTTGTGGTGTGGTCTGGTCACTCATTTGAGAAGTTGAAGACAATAGCGATTCACCAGAGTCACGTTAAAGGCATCACTTTCGATCCGGCAAACAAATATTTCGCAACTGCTAGCGATGACCGGACTGTCCGCATCTTCCGATTCACATCTCCTGCCCCCAATTCTTCAGCTCATGACCATATGAACAATTTTGTCCTTGAGCAAACAATCACAGCCCCATTCGCCAATTCTCCTTTGACAGCCTATTTCCGTCGTTGCTCTTGGTCACCTGATGGGATGCACATCGCAGCTGCAAACGCTGTGAACGGTCCTGTGAGCTCTGTGGCCATCATTAACCGTGGATCGTGGGATGGCGATATCAACCTGATTGGACACGAGGCACCTGTTGAAGTCTGTTCGTTCTCTCCACGACTTTACGCAACAGAGCCGCCCAATAAGAAGCAAGCCGATGGCCAGCCTGTACCCCAACACCACATTACCGTCATTGCTTGTGCCGGTGGAGACAAATCCCTTAGTATCTGGATTACGAGCAATGCACGACCAATTGTAGTTGCACAAGAAATGGCCGCCAAAGCTATTTCAGACCTGGCATGGACCCCTGATGGAAAGTGCCTCTTTGCTACTGCTCTAGATGGCACAATTGTGGCAGTCAGATTTGAAGATGGCGAGCTGGGTTGGGCCACGGAAATGGAAGAGAACGAGAAATCACTCACTAAGTTCGGAACTAATCGAAAGGGTGCTGGTATCACAGAAAACACAGATAGCTTGTTGCTGGAGGAAAAGAGCAAGGCTGGTGAGATCAAGCACGTCGAAGGCAGAATGGGTGCACTGATGGGCGATGGTGCTGAAGCTACTACTGAGCCTACTACAAATGGAGACAAAGCCACACAGCCATCAAATGGGACCACGCCTGCTCGGGCCTCTTCGCCAGCTCCCGAGGCTACAAAGACCCAGACGAATGGAACTCCCTCGACACCTGCCACCGCAGAATCAGAGAAGCCTGACCCTTACAAAGCCAAGCTGGAAAGACTGAAGCAGCGTCCAACATACACCAAAGAGGGCAAGAAGCGTATCGCTCCATTACTAGTCTCCGGAGCTGGGGCCGGCGAGTCCTCTCTCCCGCAAGCCCGTTTGATGGCATCTGTCAGCAGTCAGGTCAAGGCTGACGCCCCGACTACCATCGTTGACCTGTCAAAACCCTTTGATGGTCTGCCCAAGGGTGGGCTGACTTCTCTTCTTCTTGGAAACAAGCGCAAGCTGGCCCAAATAGAAGGCGACGAAGATGGCAGCGTAGAAAAGCGTGTGGCACTTGCCAGCCAAAATGGTGCAACTCCCATCATGTCCAACACTCCCGACGGCCTTTTACCAGCTCAAGTTCAATCTGCCGTGATCGGTCAACAGCCGACTCCTGAATTCATTCGCCCCGCAGTCACAAACCCTTGCATGTCGGTCAGCCAAATTCGTCTGGCAGTCCCCAAAATTCGCAGCCAGATTCTCCGCGCGCTAGATTCGAGCGGAAAACCGACGGAGCCACCTGGCCCTAGTACAGGTACAGACTCGAGCTCTACCAAGAGTCGGGCGGACGTGGTTTTCGAAGCTCGGAACCCATCACCAGCAAGTCTGACCGGTCGTGCTGTGGACCGGGAGCCAGTACGCTTGACATTGTTCCGCGGAGATCAGCCATTGTGGCAGGATTTCTTACCGCGGACTGTCCTGCTTGTGACTGGTAATCAGAGCATGTGGGCAGCTGGCTGTGAGGATGGATCAATCTATCTTTGGACACCGGCAGGTCGTCGTCTGGTAAGTGCGCTTGTTCTCGAGGCACAGCCTGTTATCTTGGAGTGCAATGGACCGTGGATCCTGTGCATATCCTCTGTGGGCATGTGTTATGTCTGGAATGTGAAGCACATGTCTTCTCCTCATCCACCAGTCTCACTCCAGCCAGTCCTGGACGCTGCAATTCATACTCTGGGCGCGAACCCCACCGCGGCTCCCGCAGTAACCGATGCACGCATCAACTCGGAGGGCCGAGTTGTTGTTTCTTTGTCCAACGGCGAAGGATACTCCTATTCCCCATCCATGTTCACATGGCAGCGCCTCTCAGAAACCTGGTGGGCCGTCGGCAGTCAGTACTGGAACACCACAGACGCACCCGTCAGTAACTTGCAGGCCAAGGACGCACAGCAAGATACCAAGGATGCCAAGGCAGCTGTCGCAGCCGGCATCATTCCCTGGTTGGAGCGAAACACCACGAATGAGACCCTTCTTCGCGGAAGAGCATACTTCCTCCAGCGTCTCATTAAGGTTTTATTGTCACGCGAAGGGTACGAGACTTTCGAGTCCAGCGTGTCTATTGCTCACCTTGAAAATCGTCTCGCTGCTGCTCTGTCCCTGGGGGCCAAGGAAGAGTTCCGGTTGTACCTGTCCATGTATGCCAAGCGCATTGGTGCCGAGGGTTTGAAACTGAAGGTCGAGGAGCTCCTGAAGGGTCTCATTGGCGGTCTTTTCGAGGACGAAGACGATGCCAGCGAGGGAGTCTTGAAATTGCAGGCCAATGAGCGCGAAGGCCGTAACTGGCGTGAAGGATCTGATGATCTGTGTGGCTGGCCACGGGAAACATTGTTGAAGGAAGTGATTCTAGCACTTGGTATGTTATTGTTCCCTTTTTTTACTCTCTCTCTCTCTTAACGATTCAATTACTAACGAATGTTCATCTAGGTAAACACCGTGACCTTCAACGTGTGACAGTACCTTATGCTAAGCTACTGGATATGGTCGACACTACGTCAGAGCATGGCGATGCAATGGATCTTTAATGATGTTTCCTCTCTTTGCTATCTATACCTTTTTTTCTCTGCTTTTGCTGGCGTTCAATAAGTTCGGGCTGGGTCACCCAAAAGGGTTTGCATTATTTATCTCTGCTGAGGCGGGATTGGAGATGATATATCTCTCATTTGGTGTATTTGTATCATAGGTTCTCTTTTGGGTCATTCTTATTCAAGTCAACCTATTCCCATCTGGCGATTCCTGTATCAACTAGACATACTATCTACATGGTATGCCTAAGTAAGTAACCCTACAATTACGTACGTGACATCCACCTCCAGGGGCAGTGACGTCGTCAGGGCTTGACTTTCACGTGGGCGGTATATAGCTCTGCAGGCAGAAAATTCGATATCTGGCGCGAACATCAACTTCACTTTTTGGACAGCAAAAAATACGCATTCATTTACTCTCTTTTTATTCATTTACCTTGTCCGCAATTGCTGTGGGCATTCGCCATCACGTCGTCTACATCTTCTATCTTCTTCCTTCGTATCGTCGATCGATCCGCAGCTGGTCCTGCATTTGGCGCGCTCCATCCTTGTTCCCGCTTCCGCCTTTCAACTTCCCCCCACCTCCCACCTCTCTTCTGTCGCTTCTACTCAAGCAAGAAGAAAAAATCCAATAAAATGCCTCCCAAGAAGCAACAAGTTCAGGAAAAGGTCCTTTTGGGCCGTCCAGGAAACAACCTGAAGAGTGGTATCGTATGTGAGCTAGGCCCCCACCCTTTCTTTTTTTTTCCCTTCCCTTTTTTCCACACAGCACAGTCCACTTTTTAATTCCGAAAAACTATTTAAACCCCCTTGCCCCCTTTCCTCTCAAGCTTTTTTTCTTCTTCTCTTCTCAACCATGATTGACTAACATTATGGCTTCAGGTTGGTCTTGCCAATGTCGGCAAGTCGACACTCTTCCAATCCATCACTAAGTCCTCCCTCGGTAACCCGGCCAATTTCCCCTATGCCACCATTGACCCCGAGGAGGCCCGTGTCATCGTCCCCGATGAGCGGTTCGACTGGCTCTGTGACCACTACAAGCCCAAGTCGCAGGTTCCTGCCAACTTGACCGTGTACGATATTGCCGGTCTCACCCGCGGTGCCTCGACTGGAGCCGGTCTGGGTAACTCTTTCCTGTCGCACATCCGCGCTGTCGATGCCATCTTCCAGGTGGTTCGCTGCTTCGATGATGCCGAGATCATCCACGTTGAGGGTGACGTCGATCCTTGCCGTGATCTGACCATCATCAACGAGGAGCTCCGCATCAAGGATATCGAGTTTGTTGAGAAGGCTCTTGACCTTCTTGGCAAGCAGACTCGCCGTGGAGGCCAGTCTCTGGAAATGAAGAAGCTCAAGGAAGAAGAGGCTACCACTGCCAAGATTCTTCAGTTCCTTAAGGATGGCAATGACATCCGCAAGGGTGACTGGAACCCCAAAGAGGTATGTTGAAAAAAATTTCTTCTATTTTTTCCCCCTCCCCTCAACCCAACTTGCCCTTCTATCCACACCCACTCCTTACCTGATGAATAAGAGCACTGCTCGAAATTTAACCCAGCTCGTTGAGTGCCCTCATTAAAAGGATACTCACAATCCGAGGGCACCTTGAGAATAAAAGTTATATGCTGAAATTTTGGAGTCCACTTCTACATGATTGTATCACTCAAACTCTTTGAGAATCTCATGCTAACCAAATTGGTTTTAGGTCGAAGTTATCAACCCTCTGTTCCTGCTCACTGCCAAGCCCGTTGTGTACCTTGTCAACCTGAGCGAGAGAGATTACATCCGCCAGAAGAACAAGTACCTCCCCAAGGTCTTCGAGTGGATCAAGACCAACTCTACCGGTGACCCAATTCTTCCTGTCTCGGCTCAGTTCGAGGAGCGTCTGACCCTCATGCACGATGATGCGGCCGCTGAGGCTGAGTGCAAGACCCTGGGCACCAAGTCCGGTCTGCCCAAGATCATTACTACCATGCGTCAGTCTATGAACTTGGGCAGCTTCTTCACCACTGGTGAGGATGAGGTTCGCCAATGGACCATCCGTAAGGGCATCAAGGCCCCCGCCGCGGCTGGTGTCATTCACACCGACTTCGAGAAGACCTTCATTCAGGCTATCGTGTACAACTACTCTGCTCTCCGTGAGTACGGTGATGAAAATGGCATCAAGGCTGCTGGTAAGATTATGACCAAGGGCAAGGATTACGTCGTCGAGGACGGCGATATCATGCTCATCAAGGCCGGTGCTGCTAAGCACTAGGTGCACATAGACAATAGTTTTAAATGATACACCAGTGTGGATGAGTCTTGCCAATAAGTTTTTTTTTTCTAACTGAAGATTTTTTTTAAAAAGCTCCTGTAAAACAATCTTGACTTCCTGATGCAAATCATATTGCTAGCTCCTTTGCATTCTCCAAGTTCAAAACATGTCTGTTTTGTTGTAGGACAAACCCGATTTCCCTTTTGTAGATGGTTCAATTGCCTTGATACTTGGAGACCAGTTCACAACCGCTCATATTCAGTGTCAGATCATCCATTTCATCCTATTCTGAGCCGTTCAGTATCAAATAGAAAAAAAAAGCAAAGCACTCTATCAGTCACGTGACCATATTCCCCGCGCATCCCACTTGCGTATCAAGAGCTTGATTCTCATATCACCACACCTTCAACCAGCATCATGTTTAAGAAAGAGTGAGTCAAACCCTTCAGTCAATCTGCAGCAACCCAACAGCTGGTCCAGTGGCTTGATCGGAACCTCCTGCCTGCCAAATTGGACCACACATGTCCCCCGGTTTTGCCGCACTGCAAAGACCGCATGAGCTGTCTTACACTCCAGACCAAGACATACACATCTCCTACGGGATAGATCTTGCCACAAAACTTTATCATTGACACAATCTAATATCCCTGCTCCGTCTAGTATCCCCCCAAGCAACCGGTCCAAGGTGAAGTCCTCAGTGCAGCGCGGCCTGCGCCAAAAGCTGCTGGAGACATACCCCGGCTTCGAGCCCTTCATTGAAGATGTCATGCCCAAGAAGGCCTCATTGGAAGCCGTGAAACTGTACAGTTCCCGACCCCCCATTTTCCACCGTCCAATTCCATCAACGTCATTTCCAACTTCCGACATCAATATGCTATGCATCTCATTCCTTCGACCCCAGAGCTAACCAAAACCACAGACCCGACCGCGTGACCCTCTACACAATAGACTCAACCCCCCTCTTCTTCCAACCCATCGACGGACCCCCAGTCCCCCACCTCCGCCTCATCCACGCCTACCCCTCCGCAGTCCCGACAATCCAGATCGACCGCGGCGCCATCCGCTTCGTCCTCTCCGGCGCAACGCTCATGGCTCCCGGTCTCACCTCCCCCGGAGGCCGTCTACCTGATGCCGAGCATGCGCTTGAGGCTGGGCAGATTGTTGGTGTTAAGGCCGAGGGCAAGGAGGAGATTTGTATGATTGGCATGCTGAAGGTTGGCACTGAGGAGATTAAGAGTAAAGGGAAGGGAGTTGTTATTGATGAAGGTCATTATGTTGGTGATGGGCTTTGGAGAATGCATTTGGATTAGGAAGGTTTTGAGAAAGCAAGGGATTCATTGGGCTGGGGTTGCGGGTCTTTTGTGTTGTTTTGGCTTGGAACTATACCTCTCTGCACGTATGGTGATGATTACATGTATGTGTTGGATGATTTGAAATGAAAAATATCTCTATTCTGGACGAGGATCCAGATTGGTTCAATACGTATTGATTGAGTGTAGATGGCTTCTTCTATTCATTCTTCTAACGAGGCTGTTAAGGTGGCTTTTAATGTAGTGTTTTGCATTTTTATGTGTTGACCAGAAGCGGAAGTACATGACGCCATGTCACGACCACCGGATTGCTCGGAGGTTCTTAACTTCAAGTACCCATTTCCTCCTTTTTACCAAAGTCTCTTTGGATTCAGTCGAAATATACCGTACGATGGCTTCCAACGATAGGAAATACCGGTTGACATATGAGCCAGTGAGTCAATGCCAGTGGACTTGAACGCACGGAATAATAATCATTTCCAGCTCAATCGGAGTATACTACAGGAGTGGCAGCCATCCGGGTGCTTTGACAAGTCTTTTGGCAGTTACTACATCGTGAGATCAAATTACAATGCACAGGTGAGAGTCATTGGACAATAACCTCTTATAGATCATGAATCTGACCTTATTCCAGGAGGATTGGTACTGCAAGCATAGGTATTACAGTTATCCGGGTGCTGAATCGTACCATTACGTCAATTTGTTAGTTTTTACCTTGCTTCCTATGAACATGTCTGACCACTATGTACCCCGTTTCTAACCTCTGGCCAGGACTGGTTGGTATTACTCATTGAACCCAGATGGCAGTGAAGAGAAGCTTCATGTGAAACAGAAGATAGCCGAGTACCACCCGCCCAACAGCCTTGTTTGGGAAGATCGGTCAGATAAGATTCCTTGGGACAAATTGCCAGCGAAACCTGATCGCTGCATTGAAAATATTAGCCGTCCTGCTCCTTGGTTTTGGACGGAACTTGAGCAACGAGAGCGGAAGCGAGGTATGGCTTGGTCTCTCCTAGTATGTGGTATAGCTGACACCAGACAGTCACAGCTGAAAGAACCGAGCGACAATACGAAGGTGAGATTGGATCATTAATGCCATGACTCATGGCTAATATTGAGCAGAATGGTGTGGAAACGACATCTGTGAATGGGATATGCCAATTGTCAACGAGGATGTGACGTTCAGATCTGCGAGCGAGACCTCGGTGAAATCAGAGGGCGACACATCTGGAGGTGGTTCCTCCACCGACCAGACGCCTCAGGAAGAGCTACCCGAAAACAAAGTGCCCACAACGAAGAGAAACTCGACTACGACAAAGTTCACCAGCGTTAAGTCAAAACCCCATCCCAGGAAGACCGAAAGGTCAGAGAAAGAGCCCGAAGAGGGCAAGAAGCAGAAGAGACAGAAGAAGGCCGAAAGCAACCAGGCCGAGGAGCAGGATAGTCCTCGACTGAACAAGCTGAAAGCCGAAAAGCGAAAGTTCGAGGAGCAGGAGTCTCAAGAGAACCACGAAGGAATGGAGCCTGGAAACAAGAAGCGTAAGAAGGAGAGGATACCCGAGGCGAAGCGTAAAGAAGTAGGCCGGTGTGATTCCGCGGACCTACCAAATCGCAAGCGGAAGGTCAACGATGAAGACGAAGTGGCCACGACTCCAATTGCGGTCAAAAAGAAGAGACGCCACGGGATTCAGGAGAGTGGTGTGGCCATAGGGGTCGGAATATGCTAGGACAAGGAATATAATCTATTTAGACAGTCTACCCAGGGAAACTGGTCCCTCGATTCTCTATGGAGAATAATGAGTCTTCAATGCTTGTGGGGTTTAATAAAGATGTGATTATATCCTTCAAAGATTGCTTGAAGCCGCAGACCACCCGGGAATGTACTTTCGAAGCAGATCCAGCGCCGGCATCCAAGCAAGCAGCTCCGGGCTATCGCGAAGAGCCCGGAGAGTGTTGTTAATCTCAAACCAAGGCGCACTTTCTTGAACCCCCCAACGGGTGTGACTACCCCATATCTCCTCCTGGAATAGCGGAAGAAAGGGATGCAGCGGGTTCGTCGCATCGTCGACGAACATGTCCAGCCAGCGGGGAAATGAGATGCCTTTCAGCGGGCGAGGGCACTGTTCACTGATTAAGTCGAAGGCTTCCTGAAGATCTATGGGTTCCGGCTGGATCAAATTATAAGCATGGCCCACGTTCTCTTCGAAGGCGGCGATTCGCAGCATTGCATATACCACGAAATCCACTGATGCAAACGCCTTGCGTTGTCCAGATACGATGGGATAATGTCCCAGCTGAAGACACGATGACATGAGACAGCCGATGAAGTCGCTCGGGTTCCCTCTTCCAGTCTGACTGTGACCCAAGACATACCCGAGACGAATGATGATCGCGGGTGAACCGTTGCGGATGGCATTCCACACCACATTTTCCGCCACGAATTGGCTTTGAGAATATCCCGTGTCATACTGTAGAGCTGTGATGTGGCCTAGTGGTGCCTCATCCTCTGGGATGGTCTTGGTTCCTTGGACAAATCCCGTCGGTCCATACGCGGCGATGCTCGAGGAGTAGATCAGTCGTTTAGGTCGGGAGTGATTGGCAAATCGTAAGAGCTCTAATGTTCCCAGGACATTGGCTGCTCGATGACGGGAGTATGGCTGGACGTAACTGACTAGTGCCCCCAAATGGAAGACAACACTCGCCCAGCTTGCATAATGATCGTACTGTTCTTGTGGAAGACCAAGGTGTGGGAGCGACAGGTCGCCAGTGATAGGAATGATTTTTCTCTCCTGGAAACCACGCAGTTTGTACTTCTCTAATGTTCTCTTGATGCGCAGGTCGGCTGCGGATGTATCCTGGGCGCGAACAAGGCATGCGACTTGGGTGACCTGTGGCATAGACAGCATTGTTGCGAGAAGAAAGGCGCCGACAAATCCAGTGGCTCCGGTGAGGAACACTCGGCCTTCTGAAGCGTCGAGCCAGTCGACGGTCGGGTCGAGACTGACCCGTAGATTTTGACCCAGAAACGAGTCCCGAGCCAGGACGCTTTGCTCCTCCGCTGCGTTTGACAAAGCTGGTCCATCCTTCAGCTTTTGCACCAGCTGCGTGAGCTGGCTTAGTGTGGAATTCTCGTATAGAGCTGCAGACCGCAGCTCAATTCCTAGCAAAAGTCGAATTCGGCCGATCAGATATGCGACTTGCAGTGAGGTTCCGCCTAGATGGAAGAAGTCATCGGAAGAACTCAGCCGGTCTAATGGATACCCCAGTATTTCGAGCCAGAGCTGCTCCAAACGCGCCTCCACGGAGTTAGCGTTTCCGTCCGAGTGCAGTTGACTCTCACGCGCGACCCTCATCTTCTCCACATACAGCTCCTCAAGCTTCTTTCGATTACACTTTCCTGTCGTTCCCAATGGAAGCTCCGAGATAAACTCAACGCGAGGCACTGGAAGATGAGGAGCGTGATTGATGAATGCTCGTGTTACGGCCTCCCGGTTGATGTGGATGCACTCCGGTACAACATAGGCAACCAGTATTGGCTCTGCGTTCGCATCCTTGGGCTCAATCTTGACAACAGCTGCTGCTGACGCGAGATTAGTGCCCAAGATGATATTCTCAAGACCTTCTAGCTCGATGCGGTGGCCTCGGATCTTGACTTGTCTGTCCCGGCGGCCGACAAAATAGTATAACCCAGACTCGTCCATACGCTCGATATCACCTGTCCTGTAGACATGACATGGAAATCCCATCGCGAGGCCTTTCAGTGGAAGATGTGGAGGGTTTATAAACGACTTGGCGTTGGCTAGAGGATTCCTACAATACCCTGCGCTAACTGCTGCACCGGCTACCACCAGTTCCCCTTCGCTGCCTGTTGGAACTGGAATCAGATTTTCGTCGACTATGAAAACCTGGCAATTGTTAACTGGCCTTCCGAGTGGAATTTGACCATTGTGGATATTGGCTGCGGTAACGTCGTGCGCGATGAGAAACACGGTGCATTCTGTCGGCCCGTATATGTGGACTACTCGCTCCGGGGGCCCGTTGTCAAATATCTTTCGGATCACCGGCACGTTGATCGGCTCACCACCGGTCGCCAGAGTGTGGATGGTGGAAAATGCTCCCGGACAGGTGCTGACAATTGTATTTAGCAACGCGGTTGTAACAAACACAGCCTCGATTCGGTCCTCCCGGAGGCTCCGTGAGAATAGAACGGGGTCTATGACTGTTTCATGTGGATAGATCACTAAGGTCCCACCTCTCAACAAGCACACCCAGATTTCAAACAGGGTGACGTCGAAGACGGTATTGCCGATGTGAGCAAGGCGTTGGCCATCTTGAAATGGCGCTATTGAGCTGAATGCTAAGTTGATGAGTCCGCCAGCTAGAATCTGAGCGGCTTTGGGATATCCCGTTGTACCTGAGGTGTGTAGGATATGGGAACAGCTTGATGGCCCATTGGAAGAGACCTCAAACTCCTCGTCGGATATCACAGGGCTCAGTGTATGGTCAACAAGGATATTGTCGATCTCAAGAGATCGACCCCAATTCCTGGCATCTACCAGAGCCAGCTTCACATCCAGGTTTCGGAGAAGCTTCCGGAGAAACACGTCCGGCTGTTTTGTGTCCAAGGGGACACAGGTTCCACCGGCATACGCAATAGCAATTTGCGCCAAAATATGGTTGACTCCTCGGGGGATGGCGATTGCAATTGGCGTTCTTAGTTCCGGTGCTTCCAGTCGGATCAATTGTGCAAGCTGGAGGGCTTTGAAATGCAATTCCTTATACGAGACAGCATGTTTGCCAGATTCTATGGCTATCACTGGACCAAGAAGCCGAGCCTGCGCCTTGAAAAGTGGAGCAAGTCCAACGTGTCTCACCAGGATTGCATCGAGTTTTCTCGCACAGAGGAGAGAGGGCGACATGATGAAACCAGGCCAGAGAATCTGGAATGCAGGTCGAGGGAAGCAGCCCCTGTGAGGCTATATAGTGAAGCAATGCGTCGTAATCCAATAATCCATAGACTTGCTTTCTATCTACTTCACCCTAGTTCACAATTAGAGTTATTTGATAGCTTGCCTGGGGTTGGATCAATCTGGCGGTGCACTGTAATACGTTTCACGCTGACGTTATTTGAGTACGCTGCCATCTACCGCGATGAAGACATGTGGGAATCTCCTCGTGTTGCCCGAATGACGATGCTGCAAAGTTGCCACTAACATGTGCACTTCAACATGCTAGCTTTTTACTTATTTTTCTTTTCAGCTGAGGATAACAGTAAGCACTTCATGCTAATCTTTCAAGCCCAGATGTAGGTAGTCATAAGATAAGCTATTTCAAAAGCTCTAAAGGCTTTAGCGTTGTGGCCAATGTGACATACATTGTACCCTGTCAAGACAGCCCGAGATTAAAGTTCTTTATATATATTGACATTAGATGCATGCAATAATGCAACTCTATCTCACTAGTGACAGATGGCAGGACTTACGCAGGGGATTTGTATAGCAGCCAGAAATGATAAATTGTGAAACTTCTGATATCTTGGCTATGATGCGAGATGCTCATGACGGTCAGAGATTACCTCTAATATTCTATAGTGGCCTGCATACCGCGAATTGATTGGATTGTTTGCACCGTTTCTTTCAGTTCCATCTAAAACCCGACGTTGTACTGCAGTACTCGGCTTTCTGCTTCTCAACAACGAAAAAGCAAACAAACAACCCAGTTAAGCGCGAGATTGACTAGCACAGCATTTCTGATAAGGTTTAAAAGTATAGATGTTGTTTTATGGGAAAGCCATGCATGGTGGTATCTCTAATAGTTCGGAGGGCCTCTATGATAATGAAACCTCACGGCAAATATATTTTCACTAAATTATGCCACCGAGGTATAGTCCTTTATAAGGAAAATTTGCGCTAGTGGAGATAGGATATGTTACTCTGCGTGGCTTTGGGTTATTCAAAGCCCAAAATTCGAACCAACCCTGAGCTTGAAGCTTATAAAAGGGATCTATCTGCCTTACAGGAGGGCATTGCACAATTTCCGAACTTTCAAAAATTTGTTAAGTATTCTTGGATTATTGAAATATCCCATATCTACCTGACCGAGCGCGAAAATGCCCGAGTGTCAGATCAATCTGCTCCAGTACCTGCGCTCAAAGACCCAGGTCGATGTCGATAGCTTTGATGTTGATGGTATGGAACTCTGCTCGAATTTATCCATATTTTTTGTTCGGTATCGTACGCTAATACCTCGATTTCAATCAGTGTCGACAGAAGTTCCAGGATGTGTTGATGCAACATCCAATCAAGTACATATTTTGCGTTTTGAAAATAGCCGTCTGAGAAATTGACTGATTGAAATTGTTTCTTTTTATAGGCAGAGATCTACTGTGAGATGATCAAGCCGCGCCACGAGAGTCTGGTAAAAGAAGTCCTTGCTTTCAGTGCCAAAGTGAAGTCTGGATTCCCAACTCTGAGACTGGAGGAGCTGGCATTTGAAGTCATGGTAAGCCGAAAAGTCTCATGGACTGCTGTCCCGTCGCTTGATTGAACAACTTGTATAGGCAATTCGGCTAGCTTTCTTTATTATTCCCAATATCACTGGTGCTGTGCATGTGATGGCAAATCCGTGCTACTCATACCACAAGGAGAGGATTGTTGAGACTGGAAAACGTACGTTACCTGTCAACAGAATAATAGAATCCTACTGACAGGGGTTCAAATAGGGTTACATAAAATCTGTAATCTCCTAGATCCGACTTTCGACACCAATCGGTTGGTTATGAAGGTGGTCGCCACATGGGAAGGTCTCCAGGCATGTCGAGAATTGAAACTTTGTGGGATAAAGACTCTAGCAACTGCGGTGTTTACAATGGAACAAGCAGTCTTGGCCGGTGAGGCCGGTTGTGTTTCCATCTCACCTTTTGTTCACGAGCTTAAAGTGTTTTTCGATGAGAAGTAAGTCAGGTCTTTGCCAACATCTAGTCCCAATCGTCTTTTTCTCACAAGTGATAGATACTCGGACGAAATTCCTCTGCTTAGTCTGTGCGTCCAGGCACAGCAGTTCTACAAGAAGCAGTCCATGAGCACAACAGTCAAAGCATGCGCCACAATCTCGCTTGACGAGCTTCTACAGTTGGCTGGTGTGGACGCATTGACTATCATGACTGACGACCTACATAACCTCCAAAAGGGCACTGGTTGCAAACGTTTGACTGAGAGTCAATCTCTGTTTGATGATAATTCTGTCACTGACAGTAGCAACTATCCTTCATATCTGGATGACGAAAGCACCTATCGTCTTGGATATTCTCGAAGTGGCCAAGGTGCGGGCCAGTACAAATTGATGCAGGTTCGTCTCTCTGTTGAAGCTAGAAGCTCTCCATTCTAATAAACTCTATCCTAGGTTCTAGCAATCTTTTCAGACTTCCAATTGAAGGGAGAGGAATTTATGAAAGCCCACTAGCAACATCTGAGTTAGTTTACAACGAAGATTTGTCAGAGTCGATAGTGACAGATGACAGAACTGAGGCGGGGGATTTGTATATAGCAACCAGAAAGGGCAAGGTGGAGGATATCTGATATTGGATCTATGGAATCAGAGGCGATTTAGTAGGAAAAGAATGACAAGACTATTCTGAATCATGATTAGCGGAGATTATTCCTAGTATGTAATACTAGCCTGCATAATACTCCTTGATTGGACCGTTTGAACTGTCTGTTTCAGTTCCATCTAACACCCAAAGTTATACTACAGTACCCGGATCTCTGCTTCTCAACATTACACTTTAGATAATTCTGAGATATGGCGTACGGACCCAAGTCTGAATCCAGGATCCCGAATAGAAGATAGCAGATCAGATCGACCACAGGTAGATATCATTTGTATATTCACATGTTGTAGCGCGTAGTATATCCATTCTACAGTGCTAGACTACTGATCTTCTACTGAAAAAGGAAACCGTCCGGGGGAATCTTACTTTTGCATCTATATTCCTTGATGATCACAGTCTAGATCCCTACCATGGTCTTCCTAGGTCTTGTGCAAGCATGATGCGCCTGCTTGCATTCTCCTTCGGAGCACAACGAACTGGGTAACTCTATTTGAGCTTACATCTTTTCCCTTTCTTTTTGTAGTTCAGACTTATTACTATTTTTGATACTTCCTCATCAACCATATTTAGGCATAGGAGAGCATTTGAAATATTTACTGAGATCCATATATTTGTTCTATTTATCCCCTCCAACTTCAATTTTAGGGCTTCAAAGAGTCTTTTCCTCTTTTGTTCCTTACCAAAATTCCGCTGATTGACCCTCAAAGGCACCTAAAATGACGTTCAAATCATTGCCAATGAATATCAGAGGCCGCAAGCAGATTCAGGTCCCCTCGCCTGCATTTGGCACTTTTACCCTAGAGGGCTGGAGTCCAACCGGTATGATACAGGGTTCATATTCAGTTCTGCTGGATATTCGGCTACTTACTGTCTTTTCAAGGTGATCCACAGAAAACAATCCAGATAATTCGCACAGCCATTCATGCCGGATGTCGTCATCTTGACTGTGCATGGGAATACAATGTATGCTGTCCATTCCGGTTTCTGGTATTTCCCATCTGATGAGTGTTACCTCTGCAGGTAGATGCCGAGGTTGGCGAGGCGCTTCGCCAGTCCGGCGTCCCACGCAAAGAGATATTCGTCACCCATAAACTGTGGGTCAACTTTGGCGCTCCCCAAAATGTGGAGGTTGCGTTGGACCTGGCTCTCCAGCGAATAGGGATTGATTATGTCGATTTATTCCTGGTTCACTATCCTGTCGCCGTCAAGCCGGCCGGGGATCTCCGTAAGGCGTGGATATCCGAAGCGACGACCATAGCGGATCAGGGCTGTGCAGCCGATGAAAAGGGCAACATTATTCCAGACCTGGAACATTGCCCAACATCAGTCGCTGCGCTCAATGGAGGTCAAGGCAATTTCATTCCGACATGAAATGCGATGAAGGCTTTGGTTCGCTGTGGGAAGGCTCGAGCGGTTGGAGTTTCGAACTTCGACGTCGAACATGTGCAAGAAATCCTCGATGCTCAGAGTGACTCTGATGACGAAGTCCCGCTTTCATGCAACCAGATCGAATGCCATCCCTGGTTTCCCAATCAGCGACTGGTTGAGTTCTTACTAGAACACAACATCCTGGTCATGGCGTACAGTCCATTTGCGTCTGTCAAATACGAGTATGGAGTCTTCCCACCTGAGCCGTTCATGCCTTATGGAACGACTCTGTTAGGAGACGAAACAGTACAACAGATTTCAGCCAAGAATGGCATGAGTGCCAGTCAAGTCTTGCTTAGCTGGGCAGCTCAACGATCTACATTGCCGGTATCTAGGAGCCGCTCCTCACAGCATCAGCAGGAGAACCTTCTATGGAAGGAATTGCCGCAGGAGGATGTGCAAACACTGGCAACTTTGGAATTGGACGGTGCAATTGGGAAGTCTACCGCGACAATATACTTCCCTGGAATCAAGGTATACAACTTGTAGACGTTGTTTTTAGACCTTGATAACATCATGTGAGGACCCTATTGACGCCATACTGCAAATCCTAGCTCACTTTTGCAATTTATTTCGCCACTTCTACACAAGATACACTCTCGTAGCTGCATGTCTACATGCAGGAATCACGCAGCCATATAGAGCACAACGCTCAATAATTGCGTGGTTGTACACATTGAGGCGGGGAAATTGCCTCTCTTGTGTGATTCAATAATAACTTGAATATATCTAATTCCTTGCTGCAATGTTACCACTCACGTGGTCAAGGTTGTGTAAATTGACTTGCAATCTTTTGACCGTACTTTGAACCATCAGGTGATGGTTGACTACATATGATCCTAGGGATACTTGGGTAAAGAGTACAGGCGGATAACCTTGGAACTGTCGAGAATACATGCGGCTTGATTGTTTGGTCAGGCCTACTGCAGTAAATAGATAAAGTCAGTCCTCCCAGTGTTCGTAGAAATGGCAACTGTTCTTTTTGACCGTTATATCTTTATAAATATTCTACCTCCACTAAGATTACTATTAAATATGGGTTCCCCCGTGACAGAAGTAACCATCGTTCCCCTGATGAAGGGTGCCGATCCACGGGTCGAGAACAGCGAGGCAGCAAAAACCCTCAACAGGTCAATCCGGGATACAATTGTGCAACCTGGATACCAGCGTATGGTATGGGGCTTGGACAAAAAAGACCCTACTGTGATGGTTATGATTGTTGGTGAGTCCCTTCTCGATGAGAGGATCAGATGAAATCACAAAATAACAGTCTTCCTAAGATTGGGATGATCTCCAGTCTCACCTCAACTTCATGGCCGCTCCGTATTATAAGCCATTCATGGATGACTTCTTGCAGATTGTTGCTGGAACGATCGTTTTGTACCATACAACCTATGAGGAAGGAGTTGGCATTGTGCCTCTGGTCGGGCTCGAGGATTACACGGCCGATGTCTCCTTTGCTTTCTTCCCTACTCGATCCTTGACTCAGGATTTCCAAGATGATCTTTCCCTAGTCTCTCGGGCTGTGAACGCGGACCTTCTCGAGTCTAACGATGCGCCCTCGAGCATTGCCAGTGGCTGGTGCACTGACGATGCGTTGGACGAAGAGCGCCCTGGAAAGGGATCAGAGCAGCCATGGATGTCGATGGTGATATGGAAGGACACAGAAACCCGACAGAGGTCATGGGATCGCAATGCTGTTCTTGGTGATATTCCGAAACTCGTTGAAGGAAAGGGAGAGCTGGAAATCTACGAGGTCGAGTTCCAACCTGTGATTCCCAAGCCCTAAACATATTTTTGAAATTATGTTGTACTGGTTATTCAGATAATTGAGTTACAATCCCTTGATCAATTGGCTTATAACTCAAAGTTGTAGTTCACCGAGTAGATCACTCACTATATATATTCCCACTATGTATATAGATAGACCCACCTGTACTAGCCTAAAAGAAGAAAGATCGGAAGAATATTCCGAATGTTCCGTTTTTTAGTGATTCCCCTGAATAGCTTCATATTTGCTATGACTTGAATTTGTCATATTCAGAATAGCCATGGGAGTTTCCGGTTCTACTTTGTCGGGCAGGCCAATCCGGATGCGGGCTCAACGTGCCGATCCCTTTGATACTCCAGTAAGTGCTCAACTAGCTCTTCTGACCATACACACACGCTAATTATGGAAACAACATTAGACATCGGAGGGTCTTCTGAAGGATGACTTTGGCGAGTATACAATTAGGACTGAAAAGTTCAACGACTCGGTGAGAGAGGATTGTACATGTGTAATCCATTGCCGAAATCTGACTCTGCATTCTAGAATGATTGGTATTGCAGACACCATTATGTCCGCGATGGCGGGGTTTATGGCTACCATTACGTCCACTTGTGAGTTTTGCGTTGTTGGATACTTCTTATACATGGCGCTCAAACATCTAGGAATGGCTGGTATTACTCCAAAAACCCAGATGGAAGTTCGGAGAACATAAACCCCATATTGAAGGAAGCTTTCTACACTTTACCGGGAAACAAAATCCCGATAGATTACTCAGAAAAAGTTGCCTGGGAGAGATTGAATGAGATACCCGACCCTTGCGTCGCAAGAGCCTCTGTAACCCACAAGCTTTTGGGAGAATTCCTGCAGAAATTGAGGAACAAAGAGGGTAGGGTTTAGTGCGGCATAACATACTTCATACGCTAACATAGCGCAGAGGATATTATCACCAGTGATCAAAACAGAAAAAGAGCCACCTGGAAAAGAAGGCTGAAAGGGAAGGAAAGTCCAGACATGGTCACCGAAGACGAGGCCGAAGAGACCGAGTGTGAGACCGAGAAAACCTCAGACGAAGAGGACGAGAGCCAGCAGATGATATCTGAACAGAGTCTGACAGAGAAAGAGAACGAAACGGAGGAAAATGAGGAGAGGCATGCTAATCACTTGCACGAAGGCATTGAGTCAATCGGCGAGCCCATCGATGCAGTAGAGACCGAGGGTACATCTTCTCAAAAGCGTAAGGCCAATGAAATGGACGAGAGCGAAGAAGAGACGGCCAGGACCCCAATTGCAAAGAAGGGGAGCATGAATAGGAGACGCGAATCTGCGCTTACTGAGCGGGAGAAGAAAAAAGCCGCCAATAGGAGGAAGCGAGAGCGCCGCAGAAAGGCGAACCAAGCGAAACAGGTGACGGAAAAGAGGATTTCAGAGTCCTAGCCTTGCCGGACGTGTGCCCCGTTAAGCTTGAGATATTGGCATTGCATTGCGTGCGGTGCGGATCAACAATGAAGTACCAGCGAGGCTGTCTCATAGTTGTTGTGTTGGGGTTTGATGGTCGTTGCAGTCCCAGTTTCGATGTTATACCAACATGGTATCGAATCTGACTTCATATGCAGGAGGTGATCCGTGCTGGTTGAAATATCGGAATTTCTTTGTTCTGGCTGGGTATTCACGCGGAGGCGTTTCAAGATGCTGCTGTACTACATGTCTGCATGTGGAGTGTCCCCAAAAACAAAAGTTGTCCGACAAGAATGTAATATATAATTGAATCTCAAATGCCCAAAACCCGTTTGGTGGGTATGGGGAAGTGGAAGAACTGTGAAATAACGGCGTAAAGAAGTAAAAATAGTTGACTTCAGCAAATCTTGAAGACAACACCTCCAGAACTGGGATATCAAATAACCAAAACAAGTAGAGACCTAGGATGGATCTATGGAACATAGCAAAAAAAAAAAAAAAAAAGCAAGCTCATATGCATCATCCGATTACATCCCTAGTCTACATCCATAGATGAAACCTCGAAAGGCCGACCAACCACCTGCAAAAAAAAAAAAAGCAAAGCAAAGAAATCCATCCATTCATTATCTTTCCTCCCATAAATAACCCAATTCCCAGAACTTAGGTCGCAGCTCTCCACACCTTCAAGCTGAAGCCTTCCCGAACCTCGGCAAATACCAAAGCTCGGAAGATCAGCTAATCTTCAAGTTGAAACTTACAGGAAAGCGAGGAAACCAGCCAGAAGGCCAGCGGCGGCACCGGGGGCAACCAGGGCCATAGCAGCACCCTCGGAGGCAGTAGGGGAGGCAGTGGCAGAACCGGTAGCGGTGCCGGTAGAAGTGCCGGTGGCGGAGGTGGTCAGACCAGTCTTGGTGTTGGTACCAGTAGAAGTTCCGGTGGAGGCAGTTCCGGTGGCTGTAAGGAGAGAAGTATCAGTGCTGTTTTTTCCATGGGGGAGACTAGTAGTAAGGGATCCAGAGGTAAAGTTTCCGGTGGAGGGTTTGATAATAGAAACGCCTGGGGTGGAAGTACCAGTAGTGGAAGCATCGGTCTCAGTGGTGTGGGTACCAGTAGAGGTGGAAGCAGAGGAAGAGACAGAAGAAGATTCAGAAGAAATAGTGGAAGATGTACCGGTAGTAGTAGTGGAGGGGCCATTATCAGGCTCGGTCACCTCGAACTTCTGGGACTGAGCGAGGATGCCGGTGTTCTGGCGCTCGGTGGAGAGCAGGTTGATCTGGAAACCAGAACTACAGTGCAGGTTGGGTTAGTGGACGGCATAGATATATAAAATGCGTTGCAAAGGTGATCTTACCCAACGGTAACATCCTTCAGACCCTTGACGGTGTAGGAGCCTGCGGAGGTGTCGACGCCGGAGGCGATCTTCTCCTCAACATTGGGGTAGACATTGTTGTTGATAAGGACGATGTCAACGGTGGAGTCGTCAGTGCTGCAATGGGTTAGCTTTGGCTGTTATGGCCAGGGTAAGGGATTATAGTCAACATACTTGACGGAAGTCCACTTCACGGCGAAAGTGTGGGAGACATCGAGCTTGTCACCCTTGGCAGGCTCGGTGACGTTGATAGCTAGATTTATTGTTAGAGAGACTCACGTGTCATGGGGTGATTTACATACCTGCAACGGAGAGGGCCAAAGGCAGCATAGACAGAAGGATAGAGAAACGCATCTTGACTGAATTAAGCGAAAGTGGTAGACTAAAAACGAATGTGGAAGTGTGAAAAAGAGAGTGATGCGAGAAGTTGAAGATGGAAGTTAGAAAAATCTTCAGATTTAAGAGATCCTTGTCATTAAGTACATGCCAAACAGTTCTGATATTGCACAACCTTGGATGTCCGCTGAACCATTAACAATGTCTCTCCCAATACGGGAAATACACCTGAAAATAGAACTGACATAGTGAGCTGTACCCGGTTTTAAAGCATTGTAATAATATTTAAATGGTTTTATATTACGAAAACGTGGGAAATCAGGGTCCGCGTGAGGTTCCATGCTGGAGAAAAGAAGATCTTCATGGTTCGCCGACGAGCTAGTCTCAGGCAAATCCCACTTTGGTTTATAATATAATTCATTATTCGATGTGACCCTTATTATGTACTTAACATACACTCGGAGTGCGGCCGTCTACAGATATGTACGCCTACCATGGATGTTGTACGCCGATAGGGCCGATAAAGAAGCCGCTAAGCTGGCTTGGCAATGAGCTAGTGAACTTTCGCGCACAGCGGAAAATACGAATGAAACGGAAAATTAACTTTTAATTTCATTTTCAGGTTTTTAAATACCGCTTAGGTGTATTTTTAGTTTGTTGTAATTTTATCTCGTTTAACTGGCCTGGACCCTGACCTCGGGAATCCCCGTATATTTTTAATCGCCATGTGAGCAAAGACCACCCCCTAATAATCTCACATCCAAACAGAACTAAATGGACACGTTCATGAATCTAAAATCCCTGCTATATGTTTCCCGTGTCTTAAAAAAAAATAGCCTGCGAAAACGTTTCGATGTCTCAAAAGACCCACTCTGCCACAGTCAATTTCAGGCATGAGACACCTCTCAATAATAGGGCACTCGGACTGCACGCTAAATGAACCATAGGTGGGAGCACTGGATGAGAGGAAATGAGTGTCTCACCGAGAAACTGCCGGCGAATTATTATCGCACTGCAGAATGGTGCCATTTTTACAGTCCACTCCAAGGCTGAATCAGTATATTAGTCAGATTTAAAACAGGGAATCTTCTTTCCGAGGCGTTATAGTTTATATATATCGAATACGAGATTGGAACAACGCAGAGTGTTTATCACAAATATTATACTGTTGTACATAATTTACAGAGCACCCGCAGAACCCGGATGAATCTTCCAAGACTGCGCCCAAATCCAACAATTAGGTATTGTAGATATTCACATTACTAGGGTAGCACAAGAAAGTCAGTCATTAAGCCACCTAGAAAAGCCGGAAGGATGGGGGTATACATACAAGTCCCTTTTGAGACCATCCCGGTCCGCTATAGCCGAGTTAACCCATACGCTAGCACTCATCCCCTGGACACTGAATTTTCCATAACCCTTTTTGTCAATAATAACAGGTTTCATGCTGGGATGCAAGAGATCGGTCCATTGTTCGTATGCATGCTGTTGACCGACAAACATGCGCTGCACACCCGGACCGGCATTGCTGATAACACACGCAAGGCCGGAGTGACGGGCGTTACCGTAGCGGACGAATCCTATATCGCGGTTAGATCCAAGCAATCCAAGCAAATTGGTGTGCCTCCATAATGGGGCTCAATATCGGGTGGGAAAGGGGTAAGACGAACCTATGCAGTTTGGTTGGTTGAAATAATCTTGCTGTTCGCCGTAGGCGTAGAGTTTCCGGGCTTGTGTTAGAACGGGCAGAAGCCCGTTGCAACTTGGTACCATTGGGTTATCCACATTTGCCCGGATACCGTACAGGTCACCGTAAAATACGCAGGGGTGACCGCCTTTGCGGAGGAGCACTAGGGCGTATGCTAGTAATTTGAAGGATGGTGATACCGGGGTCTAGGTGAGATTAGCCACTTAGTTCCTTCTAAAAGGGGAATAGTCAACTTACTTCGAGCATTTGTCCTGGTGCCTGAGAAGTGTTAGGTAATTATGCCAAGATCCAGTCACAAGTTGGTACTTACCGTATCGTGGTTTGCAACAAGGGTCTAAAGAAATTAGCTTAGATCACTAATTAGGCATCAGGCATTGAGCAACTTACCACCGCATGGTCCGGCCGACACTGTACCAGTGTATCTTTGAAAATACCACGAAGGTCTGGTGATTGTGCATGCGACAACTTGGAGAACCGCTCCAGGAGAGGCACATCATATGCAATGAGGTCGTACTCCACATTCTCGAGGTAACTCAGAAGCGACGGTAAATGTCCAGTCCAGTACTCTCCTATCGCAAAGAAGTCAGGATTGGCGGTTTTCCGAACATGTTGCACGAAGGCGCGTTGGAACTCTGTTGAAAAATGCTTGGCGGCATCAAGTCGCATCCCATTAAGGTTGAGTGTATTGGTGATCCACGTTCCCCAGTGCAGAAGATCGGCGCGAACCTCTGGATGTGCAAGGTCTAGATCGGCGAACATCAGATAATCGTAGTTTCCGTTCTCTGTGGACACATCTTGCGCCCAGTCCTTGTTAGATTCGACGATCTTGTAGATTGCGCTTTGCTTGCTCTTGTCATCCCAGTCGACGCCACTGAAATGCTGCCAGTTGTACTTCATTGAGCTGTACATGTCCCCGCGACCGGCGAACTCAAAGCCTGTCCAGCCATTGACTTCCGTCGGCTTAGATATGTCCAGATCTCTTCCTGTTCTTTCAGTTAGTAAATGGCCGAGAATCCACAGATAGAAGGATAAAATGTCTTACGCTTAGGATCTACCTTGACAGCCTGAAAAGGCTCTGGATAATCCGCGCCAGCTTTATGATTGAGCACTGCATCCCAGATGACACCAATGCCCACGTTTTGCGCTTTGCGCATCAGGTCTTCAAGCTCGCGCTTGGTTCCCCATTTCGTGGGAACTGCACCCTTCTGATCGAACTCTCCTAGATCATACAGGTCGTAGATGTCATAGCCATTACCATTCGCATCCATTCCTTTACATCCAGGAGGAATCCAGATTTGGTCAACGCCAATGGCCTTGTACTCTGGTAAGGCATTTTGCAGACGGCGCCAATGCTGCCGGTCGGCGGGAACATGCCATTCAAAGGTTTGCAATATGAGCGAGTTATCTGGAGCAGTCCATGATGGCAGCTGTTCTAGATTCGCAGCTGCTTCTATATCATATATTCATGTTAGAGCATGGATCTGTATATGTTTTGGTGGGGAGACTGACCTTCAATCTGTTTCCATTTCTGGCCTTTCTGTCGAGATCCACACCACAGGAACGGCATCGTTGGAGATTGTTGTACAAATGATAACTCAACCAAAGCAGAATATGGATATATCCCCTTTTGGGGTTAGGGCTCGGATGTGGAGGGAACTATTTTTATTCGGTGAACCTTGGATAGTAAAGTACTAGTTTGGTGGGTCAATAAATTCAATTAAGTGGGTTCAATGTCTCAACCAATATTATTAGATAGAATTTTCACTTCAACCGTGGAACACTCGAGCTTTTCTAGAAATTCCCGAGCTCCACATAGGTAAATTTCATTGGCTGATCCGTAATGCATGATATGTAACAAAATTAGAAGAAATGAAGCTCATAATGATACACAGGCCAAAACACCGTATCAATATGAGGGAAAAAAGGTCAATATCGCCAATATAAAACAAAATGATAAAAAATAATGCACATAAAAGGATATCTTCGCGAACCAAGCTGAGCCGTCAATACAGCTCACCACAATGGGGAAAAAAGGTCAAAAGAAAAAGGACCCGAAAGGAAAGAGGAAAGTAGGTAAAGAGCGAAGAAAGGTCTTTCGTCACTTTTCTTTCAAAGGGTAACGAAGATGCTGGTCGCCACTGCCAGTAGGAATGTAGCTAGACTGGTACCACTTGTGTATTGGATGCCAGCCGACGTTAAATCACTGTGAGTCTTCAACTGTGCGAGGGAAATGTTCGCGGCAGCGTGGCCACAAAGACCACTACCGTCCAAATAGTCCGTGGGGAAGAAAACTCGGGGCTCTCCCTTGTCCATAGGGACGCGCAGCGTGCCTACGCTGTCGACAGTATAGTTCTTACAGGCCAGGACATCCGTCACCGGCGTGCCAGCATTATAACTGACTGTCAAGTCGATGGTGTAGGCTGTACTTTTCGAGGATTGAGTAGACAATACCATGACCACTTGTCGACCTTGAACACCTTTTGTGAAACCAAGTTCACTGCCGCCCTGGTAGATCGTGTGGGTCGAGTCCTCGAAGTAGTCTTTGCCCAACAAGGCTGCGTGATTCCGGATGCGATTCAGCTTCGCGATCAGCTTGTAGAGCTCCGCGTCAGTGTCGTATTTGGTGAGCCAGATGGCTTCTCGGTTCTTAGGAACCGAGTTTCCGGCTAGATGTTGCTCTTGGCCTTGATATATCATGGGAATTCCGTCAAACAGCATGGTAAACACCAGGACGTTTTTGGCCATCTGCAAAGTATTATGATCAACAAAACCGATCACTTAAACTGAGGAGGACATACATACCGCCATGTCCTTGGAATTGCTAGCAATTCGAGGCTTGTCGTGATTCTCAGAGAAACTAGTCATAGCATTGACATCTGGGATCGACATTCTCATTTCCTCTACGCCTTTTGCCAAGAGCGATGTATTACCCATGGTAAAAGCCTCTAGGATTTGGAAATAGATCGGATAATTTGGCAAACTGGCGATGTAATTTTCCTGGTAGTCGGCCATGATGCTGACCGCCCCTTCAAGAACCTCTCCAGTCATGAAAATGTCGTCGAGACCCTGGGAAAAGGCCTTTAAAAAGCCCGGGTTGACGTGCTTGGCGGCGTCAATTCGGAGCCCGTCAATGGAATATGTCTTGATGGCGTTTTTCGCCCATTTGATCAAGAGTTGTTGGACATCTTCGTGCTCAGTGAAGAGATCGGGTAGTGGGACGATCTCATCGCCCGTGTTGCACTTCTGCGCAATCTTCATGTCATTCCAGTCTGACATGTTACAGTACGGGTGGTAATAGTCAGCGTTATTGAAGGGTGTCAAGGTTGAGTAGTCGATATGTGTGGCGGGATCACTGCCATTCGTGATGTAGGCCATGTTGTTGATCACCGTATCCAGCATGAAGTACATGCCCCGGGAGTGGAGAGCGGCACTGAGATCAAGCAAGTCTTGATGCGTACCAAAATGAGAGTTGAGATTGTTGAAGTTCAAGGGCCAGTACCCGTGGTAGGCTTCGCCATACTTGACTCGGCCATGGATATTCTCCATGATTGGAGAGATCATCACAGCATCAAATCCCATTCCTTGGATGTAGTCGAGTTTGTCAATAGTTCCTCGCCATGTTCCCCCACAGTAAAGACCCGCCGTGGTGTTGCATGGTGCTGTTGTCGATCCGTCTGTGCGAGCGAAACGATCTGTCATGGTCTGGTATACTGATCTGGGTTTCCAGTCGGCTGTACTTGCGGCTGACGCCGAGGCGATGAGCCCCGTAATGAAAAGGCCTACCAACGAGCGAATGGTGCAACGTGACATCATGGCAGCTCGTATTTGTGCGGGTCGATTGGAAGAGGAAAGATAGAGAGTACGAGGTTTCAGATAAAAGAGTGACTTGGATAACTCACGAAAAGGGCAAAGATGGCCGGAAAGAGAAATAAATGAGTGACATTTGGACTTCAGCCAGAAACAGAAAGCGAAAGGAGGCAAAGAGAGCAAGAGGTTCGAGAGACAGGAAAAGGTCGAAAAACGGGGAAATTTTGCCTTCCAGGCAAGGAAGGGCCAAGTCAGGTGGCTTCCAAGGTTCTGTCGGAGATCCAAACACACAGTGGAATTATCACCCCACAATTCACTCGCTCTATATTACTACACAACCTACATATTAGCCGGAGAAACATGTGTTTTATGTACTTGGCGGAGTGTGCACCTATGTGAATCTGATTTGCCTCGGAATAGCTGTATTATTTAGACCGGATTGCCATGCGAGACTTATCCGGCTTACTCGCATATCTTTGATATTCCCCAGAATTTAGAAAGTAAGATATCATTGTGGCTTTTAATCCTGAAGAAATACACCGGTGGCTTCATAGACTATCTCGACATCAAGCGGGGGAATTGCAGTTACCGAGATTACTTTTTGTTCATCTAGTGAGGGGAAAAGAGAAAGAGAGAAACCTGACGCACTAGTAACAATATCGTTAGAACCGTGCCTGGAGGAGTCATTTTAGTGTCTGTCAGGTACCAGGCACGGGTGTCCACTGCTGGGCATTTGGTTCGATGCTGCAGGTCACGTGAAGACACTACCCTAATTTCAGAGGTCCAATTACACCAAAAAGTGACAAAGGTTGCATGGTCCAATCATCCGAGACAAGGTGGTATCAATCCAAGAAACTAGCGATGTTGCCTAGGCATAGATAATACGGAGTAACTCCGTACACTGTATTACCTTGGTACCGTACTCTAAATTGATACTACGCTTTGGCCTTGATGTTGAATACGAGATAGTGAGACAGAGGTCGAATATTTTAATAGAGTGTATATTGTATTACTAATTTTAACTGATTTCGTTTACTCTATAGACACAGGTACTGCCTGCAATGTCAGCGAAAAGGGGGAAAAAGGGATAAGGAGAGAAATGAAACTCAGTACTTCCGGGTATATTCCGGTGTGATAGATAAGTGATTCTGGCCTGAACTTTTCTGCGCCATGCTCGCTTGTTGACGGCTTCCCGGACTTCCGTCACAAGTGGCGTTGATAACAAGAACATATCACGCTAAATACTGCAGGGATGTCTGACCATGTGGAGATTAGGGTAGAGATTTCTTCTCTCTTGTACGAAGTATAATTCCAAGGTTTAACTTCAGGATGAATACGGAATAGAATAAGGTGTTCTAAAATGCGATAGCGGACATGCCGGATATACAAGTTGTTCGCCTTGGGCCTTTCAAGGTTGTTCGCCACTGGCTGCCACTGGCTTGTCCTTCCACGGTGGGAAGAATATTTAAACTTGCACCATCTTTGAGATCCCAGGGAACCTTTCATACGAGAAAAAGAAAAAACGAAAAAAGACCCACCACTAGTACATGTATCTCGTATTTACCTGATTCGTGACCGAGTGCGAAATACCGAGTGGGCGGGTCTCACATTACCAGCCAATCGGGCAAGTCGGGCTACCAGTAACTCGGCCCCAAATCCACCCGGCCCATGACCGAGAGGTATATCGGCATTGCCATAGGTTGATATTTACGGGTCTGGAAAATCATCGGTGTATTGAAGAACATTTACCTATAATAGTCGGCAGAAGTGAAGGTGATGTTTCATTCTTATTTTCAGAAGAATAAGCCTGTAAGACATGCAATATCTATAAAACAATCCCATATCCTGCCACAAAGAGACCCCGTATCTGTGATAAAAGATACAGGGTCTACGGTGTGGTAAAGTGGCGTGGGGCAAATCCAATAGTTTCCATACATAGAACGTGCGAATCGGGTATCCCCGTTGTCAGGCTCCATTTATTCTTTTAAAAGAACCGTCACAGAGGGGTTTCCTATTCGGAGAAGTTTGCCGTGCATTTCCTTTTTTATGTATTCTGGTATTGGTCGAACCAGTCGCATTTGATAAATTTTATATCCAAAGTAGAAAAATATTTTCGATTACATTAAAAAAATAATTTTTAATGAAAATTACCGAGGCCGAGGCGTTGGAATCTAAGATACTCCAATACTCCAATACTGGGGCTCTTAGAATTTGATATGGGGTTTGTCTCATCTGCTTATTTTTATCTTGAGCTTCAAGGCGACTAGCCTCTTAGCACTTAGCACTTAGCATTGTTATGTGGTCATTTCTTTCTCCCTTCCACATCTGATTCCTCCTTTCCATCCCTCATCCCTAGTCCTTCGTTTGCTAGCACAGCCCGTCTCTCGTTATCTTTTTTTTTTTTGGCACGCCTTTTGACGCCTTTGCGAATTTCCGTGACCTCCACAACATACCCGCATTCCACTACTCCATGGCAATTGAGAGCTGCACATCTCCATATCTTTCATAGGGTGTCTCAGCCTCTCATCCCAGCGGGGATCTCCTCCGCACTGCCCGAGGCGTGCGACTATCACCCAACAGCTCCGCGCAGCCACCAGCCATGAAGTGGTTACTTGCCAGCGGACTGGTCTCGCTTCTTGCGACGACTATCACAGCTTGGCCCTACGATGAGGCTTATCTGGATCATAACCTCAATACAAACAAGACAGCCACCAACCCGGCAGACTACTGGGGAACATGGGCTGGCCACGAGGGGAAATACAACCCCTCCCCGGACAACTGGCGCTTCCCGTTCTACTCTCTCTTCCTGGATCGTTTCGTGAATGGCGATCCTTCCAATGATAACATCAACGGTACCACCTTCGAGCATGATGTTGATCATCGCATCCGACATGGTGGCGATGTCGCTGGTCTAGTTGATACACTGGATTATCTCCAAGGAATGGGAATCAAGGTTTGTCTCGTCTGTGAATTTCTAGTGGAAAGAAAGTATATGCTCACAATTTCCAGGGTATTTATATTGCAGGTACCTCCTTGCTGAACCAGCCGTGGACCTCGGACGGATATGGAGTGTTGGATACAACGATTCTTGACGCGCATTATGGCACTATCCAGACTTGGCGAGATGCCATCACTGAAATCCACAAGCGCGGCATGTATGTCTTGTTCGACAATACCATTGCGACGTAAGTTGTCCTCGTGTGCGCAGATAAGAGAGCAGACCTAACCGGATATATACAGAATGGGTGATTTGATTGGATTTGAAGGCCATCTGAACACGTCGACTCCATTCTCAGAGAAAGAATATCAAACAGTATGGAAGAGTGACCGCCGCTACAAAGACTTCGACATTGGAGTTGGCGACTACAACCAGAGCTGTGACTACCCACGGTTCTGGTTCGAAAATGGATACCCCGTGCCTCAATCGGACCTCTCGGGCTTGGTTGGATGTTTCGACAGCGACTTCGACCAGTACGGTGACATTGAGGCTTTCGGTGTGTGGCCCGATTGGAAGCGACAACTGGCCAAGTTCGCCTCCGTCCAGGATCGTCTCCGCGAATGGAATCCGAGTGTGCGCGAAAGGTTGATCCGGCACTCCTGCATGATCATTCAGTCTTTGGATATTGATGGTTTCCGTTATGATAAGGGTACTCAAGCCACCGTGGATGCCCTTGGAGATATGTCCGCTGCCTATCGAGAATGCGCGCGCGCGGTCGGAAAGGAAAACTTCTTTATCACTGGTGAAATCACAGGTGGAAATGAATTTGGTGCTATTTACCTCGGAAGGGGCAGACAGCCCAACCAGTGGCCTGAGGATTCAACCGCCACAATGAAGTTGACAAATGAGTCCTCTGCCCAGTATTTCTTGCGCGAGGCGGGACATGAAGCAATCGACAGTGCGGCCTTCCACTACACTACATATCGTGCCTTGACTCGATTCCTCGGCATGGACGGGCAACTTTCTGCTGGCTTCGATGCGCCTGATGACTGGGTTACGGGCTGGGACTATATGTTGAGATCAAATGATTTGATTAATGCTAACACCGGCAAGTTTGACCCTCGACACATGTTTGGTGCGACGAATCAAGATGTGTTCCGTTGGCCATCGATTGCCAACGGTACCCATCGACAGTTACTCGGTTCTTTCGTGACTACGTTGCTGCTCCCCGGAATCCCACTTCTTCTTTGGGGAGAAGAGCAGAACTTCTATGTCTTGGATGCCACCGCAGAAAACTACATCTATGGGCGACAGTCGATGTCGCCTGCAACTGCCTGGATGACCCATGGCTGCTTCCACTTGACGTCATCCCAGTACTATAAGTGGCCTGTTCTGGCCGCTAAACACGGCTGCGAGGACCCAACAGTTGCATACGACCACCGTGACCCTTCCCACCCTGTACGAAATATCATGAAACAGATGTACCACCTGCGCGAACAATACCCTGTTCTCAACGATGGCTATTCCCTTGGCAGTTTGTCAAAGAGAACCGAGTGGATTCTCTACCCTGGTTCCAATGCCACGAAGACGGAGACCGGCATGTGGTCCGTTTACAGGGATGTCAACACCCAGGTGCAAGATTTGGGCTCTAATGCCAACAACCAACCAGTCTGGCTTGTTTATCAAAACCGCAAGGACACAAGGACATACAAGTTCGACTGTGAATCCACAAATACGAACGAGACACTGATTGCTCCATTCGCAACCGGTACCACGGTCAAGAACCTTTTCTACCCGTACGACGAGATCAAACTGGAGGATGGAGCGATCAAGCGCGGCTTCAATGGGTCGAAGGAGGTCAATGGCTGCGTGAAAAGCATGACAATGAAGGCATATGAGTTCCGTGCATACGTCCCTATCGAGGTGCACAAGTCACCTCGCCCCATGATCACCAAATTCACCCCGGGCCATGATTACCCACTGCGTTCTACCGTGAAGCCCAATCTTCCCGAGGACGTGACGATTGAGCTTTACTTCTCGGAAGAAATGCTCTGTGACTCGGTGACTGAGGGAATTACCTTGCATTCATCCACAGAGACTGGGAAGGTTCCAACTCTAGATGCCAAAACTGTCGATTGCAAAAAGATTTCTCCTATGCTCCAAACAAATTGGACTGCTGAGATCCCGAGCGTTTGGAAGTGGACAGCAAACCTCACTGGAGTGTACAACGGAGTTCACAAGTTGACTGTCAGCAACGTAACTAACTCCGACAAGAGCTCTAAAACCCACGCCGTTGATCACTTCCTCTTCCGTGTCGGCCAGATTGATAACCCTATGGTATTCACTACTGCCAACTACTCGAGCAGTCTACTCCACAAGTGGTCAAACAACACCCTTTTCATCCAGCATCACGCCGCCGGCGCGGACAAATACCGTTACACTACCAATTGGGGATCATCATATTCCGACTGGGTAGACTACAAAGGTGGAAATGATACCATTGCCAGGCTCCCATGGTCTGGAACCAAGGAACAGGAGTGGGATGGTGAACATATACGTGTTGAGTACTGGAGTCGTTTGACCGGAAGCAGCGACTACGTGCAGCAAGGTGACGTTGACTGGAATCACCCAGTCACACGGCGTTTCCCTCATGCTCACTTCAACGGGCCTTACAATCAGTATGGATTTGACGGAGGCCTCGACAACAAAATCAGGCTTGACCACAAAACCGGAGTCTGGTCCTTCCATTTCACGTCCGAATGGCCCGCAGTCGGGCAGCTCAACATCTGGGGAATCAATCCCGACGGAGAGCCTGATCAAACCTGGGTTTTGGGAGACACCGACAATGATACAATCCTGGATCGAAGCCCACCGTCCTCTCTGAGCGCGACCTTGATCAATATTACCCAAGCGCCAGCCAAAGGATATCTCGCCCACAAGCTCTACTTTGACGACGGATCTCTCCGTTTCTGGCTTGTTCCGGTTGGACCTCAGTCAACGCAGATTATCATGTTCGTGTTGTTTTGGATCATCCCCTTCATCACTGCCGTGGGATGTGTCTACATCTTCATGAAGTCCTTCTACAAGGTCAAATTCAACCAAGTCGGTGTGAGCGAGAAGCAAAGCTTTATTCCTCTTGCACTTTGGACCAAGTTCAAAGACTCCCGTTCTCGTAGGGATGCGTCAAACCCGTTGTCACGCTTGGCCAACAAATCCGGCTTCATGCAGAGCACCACCGCTTTGGGTGGAGCTCTTGCGGCCGGCGAGCGACGCATGGTTCTAATCGCCACCATGGAGTACGACATCGAGGATTGGGCCATCAAAATCAAGATCGGTGGTCTCGGTGTCATGGCTCAACTCATGGGCAAGACCCTAGGTCACCAAGACCTAATTTGGGTCGTTCCTTGCGTTGGAGGTGTCGATTACCCAGTGGACCAGATGGCAGAGCCGATGGAAGTTACTATTCTCGGCAGCCCCTACCAGGTTCAAGTCCAGTACCACGTCTTGAACAATATTACCTACGTCCTGCTTGATGCTCCAGTGTTCCGTCAACAGTCGAAGACCGAACCCTACCCTGCTCGCATGGATGATCTTGACAGTGCAGTGTACTATTCAGCATGGAACCAGTGTATCGCGGAAGCCATCAAGCGATTCCCAATTGACGCCTACCACATCAACGATTACCACGGTTCTCTCGCACCTCTTTACTTGCTACCAAGAACTATCCCCGCTTGTCTTTCGTTGCACAATGCTGAGTTCCAGGGTCTCTGGCCTATGCGAACTATCAAGGAAAAAGAAGAGGTTTGCTCCGTCTTTAACCTTGACGAAGAGGTCGCTCGTCGTTACGTCCAATTCGGTGAAGTGTTCAACTTGCTACACGCCGGTGCAAGTTATCTCCGTGTCCACCAAAACGGTTTCGGTGCCGTCGGTGTCTCTAAGAAGTACGGCAAACGGTCCTACGCTCGCTATCCTATCTTCTGGGGTCTCCACAAGGTCGGCAATCTGCCTAACCCTGATCCATCTGACGTCGGTGAGTGGACAAAGGAGCCCACTAAAGAGCAAGATATCACTGTGGATACAAACTACGAGGCTGGCCGTGGTGAGCTTAAGAGGCAGGCCCAGGAATGGGCAGGCCTTGACCAAAACCCCGATGCCGACCTGCTTGTCTTCGTCGGTCGTTGGTCTATGCAAAAGGGTGTTGATCTTATTGCGGACGCAATGCCTGGTGTTATCGAATCTCGCCCCAACGTGCAATTGATTTGCATTGGCCCCGTTATCGATCTCTACGGTAAATTCGCCGCCCTCAAGCTTGACCACATGATGAAAATCTATCCCGGACGAGTCTTCTCGAAGCCTGAATTCACTGCACTTCCTCCATTCATCTTCTCTGGTGCTGAGTTCGCCCTGATCCCCTCTCGTGACGAGCCCTTCGGATTGGTTGCCGTGGAGTTCGGCCGAAAGGGTGCATTGGGTATCGGAGCCCGTGTTGGTGGTCTTGGTCAAATGCCAGGTTGGTGGTACAATGTGGAATCAATCTCGACGTCTCATCTCCTCATGCAATTCAAGCTTGCAATTGAGGCTGCGCTCAATTCCAAGACATCCGTTCGTGCCATGATGCGTGCCAGATCTGCGAAACAGCGTTTCCCCGTCGCTCAATGGGTTGAGGATCTTGAGATCTTGCAATCTACTGCCATCGCGATTCACGAAAAGGTGGCCAAGAACCAGGGTACCAGCAGCACCCGACCTGGTACTTCTTCTGGAATTAGCAGTCTTGGTGGAGCCATGTCGTCTGTGACCAGCTTACCCGGCGGACTCCTTTCACCCGGCATGAACTCTCCCTTCACGCATTCCAGGGACAGCAGCTACTCCTTCAATCAAATGAACAACCTTACCCCACAAAAGAAGGTCAGCTACAGCGCAGATCCAAGCCCGGACGATGTCGAGAAACCCAAGTCAGGACTGAGTCGTTCTCTATCCCTGGGTGTCCGCTCAGGCCCCGGTCACGCTGGACGTCGTCGCAGAAGAGCAGGAGATGATATCGCAGAAGGCGACGAGCATGGAGCCACTGATGTCGAAGGTGATAGCAGCGACGAGGACACTGCCCACAACATGTATGCAGATGATGACGAATACACTCTCACTCCTGCCCAAGTTGAGGCGGGACGACGAGCTCAGGCTGCTCAGAAGGACCGTTCTCAAAACATACCTTCTTCTCCAAGCAGACGCCTCAGTCAAGAGTCTTTGCATCCCAGGTTCATGGTTCCTTTGGAAAGCCCGGGAAGTCCCGGAACACCACCGAGCGCTGAAAGCCTCCTTCTTCCTCCGCAGCCATTTGGCCAGTCCAACCGTTTCAGTTCCGCATCCGTTCTCTCTCTGGACTCTGTCGTCGGCAACAAGACCGATTTCAAGCTACAGAAGGTTGATCCTTTCTTCACGGATAGCACCGGCGAGTACTACAAGACGTTCGACAAGAGATTGGATGCTCTGAACGGATCTAACTCCGAGTCGCAACTTTGTATCGAAGAGTTCTTGATCAAGAGTGAGCAACAGTGGTTCGACAGGTTCCGCAATGCCAGACTGGGTCGCACCAAATCTCCCACACCATCGATTCGCCATTCTTCCCGAAACACAGACACCCCGGACAATATGTTCTACAATGATGACATGGTCTCCAATGCGAACAGCAACGAAGACATTCCTCTGCAAGATGATGAGTTCCTGCTCGGAAAGGACTATGTCCCTCCCACTGGACTCAAGAAATGGATGCAGATCAAGATTGGAGATTGGCCGGTCTACTCCATCTTCCTCGCTCTGGGTCAAATTATCGCTGCAAACTCCTACCAGATCACCCTACTCACAGGTGAAGTTGGTCAGACTGCGGAGAAGTTGTATGGAATTGCCACAACATATGCCATTACATCCATTTGCTGGTGGCTCGTGTACCGGTACTTCAAGTCTGTCGTTTGTCTTTCTACTCCTTGGTTCTTCTACGGTCTTGCATTCCTCATGATTGGATCTGCTCATTGGCAAAAAGATGAGTTCAGTCGTGGATGGATCCAAAATGTGGGTACCGGTTTCTACGCCGCGGCCTCCTCCAGTGGATCCATTTTCTTCGCTTCCAACTTCGGTGACGAGGGAGGTGCTCCCGTTGAAACCTGGATTTTCCGTGCCTGTGTGATTCAAGGTATCCAGCAGGCGTACGTTATTGCGCTCTGGTACTGGGGTTCCACCATGACCAAGGCTTCTTCAGCGGGTCTCTTGAACCCCGAGAACAACATTGCCAACAGCTGGAAAATGAGGTAAATATCCCTGTACTCTTATCTCCTAAGTTCTTTTACTAACCTTCTTTCAGTGCGATCTGTTATCCCATCGCCATCTTCCTGTGTGCCGTTGGTGTTTTGTTGGCTATGGGACTTCCCAACTACTACCGCCAGAAGCCCGGCAAGGTGCCATCCTTCTACAAGTCCCTTTTCCGGAGAAAGATCGTATCCTGGAACTTCGTTGCGGTCATCCTACAGAACTTCTTCCTCAGCGCGCCCTATGGTCGTAACTGGAGCTGTAAGTTTAATTCCCCCTTCAAATCTCGCACACCCCTCAGTACTAACATTCCCTCTTCCCAGTCCTATGGGGTTCCATCCACACCCACGCATGGCAGATCGTCATCCTCTGTATTGTGTTCTTCGGCGTCGTCTGGTGCATCTTCCTCTTCGTCGTCAGCAAATTCTCCAAGAAGCACAGTTGGTTCCTTCCCGTCTTCGCCTGCGGCCTAGGCGCACCCCGCTTCATCCAAATCTGGTGGGCTATCTCCGGCATCGGATACTATCTCCCCTGGGTTGGGGGATACACTTCCGGTGCGCTCGTGTCTCGCAGTCTCTGGCTGTGGCTGGGCGTGTTGGATTCCATCCAAGGTCTTGGATTCGGTATCATCCTTCTGCAAACACTCACTCGAGTCCACATGTGTTTCGCTCTCATTGCATCACAGGTGCTGGGTTCCATTGCGACTATCTGTGCCCGAGCCTTCGGCCCTAACAATACGGGCCCCGGCCCGATTTCTCCTGACATGACCAGGGGCGCCGATTCCTTGGCTAATGCCTGGTTTTGGGTTGCTTTGTTCTGTCAGTTGTTGGTCTGGTATGTTGATCTTTACTACTCTTGTTAAATGAACTGATCGCTAACGTGTTTCTACAGTGCTGGCTTCTTGCTGTTCTTCCGTAAGGAACAACTCGCCAAACCATAAGCTCCCCTTCCCATTTTGGAGCATTTCTGTTTCTTGTCATAAAACGGCTATGCCATCACGACGAACATGAATGTCAAATTATCTCCTCTGCATACATGAAGCATGTTGTTTCCCTCCTTTGTGATCAATTTTGATTTTTTTTTCCGGTATCTTAATATTAATACATATTGTTGTACCGAGTTTTTACTCGGTTGATAGAGTACATTAACTCCTCGCAGTAATGAAATAGAGTAGAATCCCATTTTCTTCTACGGTGGTTTAGGAATACTGCTTTTCTTTACTAAATTCAATGACATAGTCTTCTGCTGAGAAGAAGCCGAATCCTGCATTGCATTACGCATCATCCATTACACTGTCGGGTCCTGTCAGTCCATTTCAAACTGGCCTGGATATGCAGGCTACCGTTGACTGACATGATCTAATTTTCCCCTGAATCTACCTGTGTCTCCCGACTATATTACTCTCTATGTATCCCACAGTCCCAATCCAGAGACCTTGCACTGAATCCTTTTTGCATACATGATTTACCGCTTCCAGCTGACATGCTTGATAGAAAAGAAATACTAGTTTAGTTGATCAATGTTGGTCCTGGATGGTCTTGTGGTCTTTGGGATAATATAACAGACAGAATGAGGAGGAAGAGGTGTATACCAGAAAAGAACTATGGAATCAGAGAGAATAGTATAAAAGTTGGATGTGAGACACAGGTAGATTCAGGGGGAAATTAGATCATGCGGTCAATGGTAGCCTCCATATCCAGGCCAAGATAGGGCAGTAACTAAGCCCTACTTGAGTATGGGCGGTTTACACCACGTCCGACGGCATGACGCATAAGGCACAACTTAGTTCTCTGCTTTTCAAGAACCTGTACTAGGTCCTTGGACAGCTCATATTCTTATGCCCGTATGTTTCCTCTCCGTTGTGTCATTCGCAGTTTTCACCCGTGTACGTCATATCCTCGAGCAATCATGCAAGATGCTTCCGAGGATACTTGCCTGCTTCTGGGATTCCCACCTGTAGAAGGCCGCTTCCTTTTGTTTTCCGAAGCCAGACTGGTCTCCTGTCTTATGGAGGTAGGTGTAGTGTTGGAAGAACTTCCGGTGCCTGGGTTACCAGTACGTCGTGGTGTAGACCTCGACGGGCCCGGAGTGGCCGTGTTCACGCTCTGTTTCAATCTCTTTCTCGGTGCCTCGTCGCCCTCAGAGCTTGCATCACTCCGTGAGCCTGCACCGCTCTCCTCGCTAGTGTGGCTTTCTTAGGGTACAAAATCATAATAAATTCGTACAGCCTGACCCTGACAGCGCAGCACTTCTAGATGCTGAGCCTTGTGAGGACCATGGTAAAGGGCTGGACCTTGCAGCTCTACCTTATCATAAGCTCTCCTGCCTATGAAGAAGCGGTCCAGTCGATCGGCAACTCTGTCTTTTCATAGTGTCAGTGGGGGCAAATATCATAAAGTCGTCAACTTACTCTGATCGGCTGCCACTGGAACTCTGTTCGCGTTGACCATGGTAATGCATTGGACAGGGTCCACATTTTCCCAGTTGGCCTGGTAGTATTCCTTGTTCTGGCTTCCGCGGGCTTTAACAGTGTAAGATTAGAAAGAAATAAAGCTAAGCTTGAGCTTTCTGAAAAGGCAAGTCGTTCTTCTCGCTCTTCCTGCTATCCTTCCTAGCCTCCTTTTTCTCTTTCGAACACAATTCATGATCGACTTGGAGAAGAGGTAGGTGCATTCGTCAAATTGACTAACGACCATGCTAAACCACCGATGGAGAGCTCCAGGAATGGGTGCGGACATGTCTCAGTCGCTTCAACACACCAAGGCACTCTTGGTGGATGGGTAGTTTTCAACAAGTCTCTCCTCGAGAATAGCCCAAGACTTCATCTGGGAAGTCAAGAAAGCCAGATTTTGGGAGTTGGGAAGCGTGAGTGGACTCGGTTTCTGTTCTCCTTCTAGACAATTGAGCTGCCTAGGTATCGGGTCTGAATGATGTTGAAGGACGTGCCGGAAAGGGCTCGACTTTAGAGCGCTGGATCTTTTTTTCCCCCCTGCTTTCCGCCATGCATTTTTCTATATTGGCTTTGATTAGGCATCTTCAATATAAAGAGATTAGATTGAAGATCCCGAACCACTTGTGGCCCCCAAACGCAGATCTGTTGCCTGGAGATCCGCCCCACAAGGCTGGCAGGCTCCAGGGATATCTGAGTGGATTGCGATCGTCAACTTAAAAGCTTCTTTGATGTGCATAGTTCGCGGATTTGACATTTGGGTTAATAATTCTCATGGGAAAGGAGGAATATCAAGTTGATGGGAGCGCGGAAGGTACCGGAGCCCCGGAATCGAGTCCCGAAGTCTACCCAGGCACTACAATCAAGCACAAGCTTAGTGAGTCAAATAAAAGGCCCCATGGAGAATCAAAAATCGAACCAATAGCTCTGGTAAAAAAATTAACATTATCTTTTTAATTTTATAAGAAAAATTAGAGGCTAGCTATGAGGCTCTGCCCATTGCCGGCCACATGAAGTGTATATAGATCCCCTCCCACTCATCCATTCATTTCCTCGAAGCTTTGTCACCAGTGGTAGGAACCGGCTTTGCCAGTCGCAGACACCAACACAGTGCATATTCGAGGGGAAGGAGCAAGATGAGAACTCTATTGAAGCGGTAGGACAGTGTAACCGTGAAAATGGCCACCACAGCGTCGAGCCAGTAGTGATTTGCGGTAGCAACGATAACACTCAGGACGAGAATCGGGTAGCATATAGCGAGAGCCAAAAAGCCAAATTCAGTCAAACGTGACTTTTGCGTCGGCTTACGTTGGAGTCTCTGCAGGAATCCGGAGTGGTGGAGGAATGTGCACCCGATCACAAAGGCATAGGTAAAGTGTAGACTGGGCATAGCGGCGAATTGGTTCACAGATTTTCCGCCAACCCAGATGCTTTCGGCGTTGCCTTGGCGGACGGTGTCGTAGAAGCCATATGAGTCGGGAAGGAGTCGGGGTGGCATGAGGGGGTAGATGCAGAAGACTAAGAAGGCGGCGAGGTTTCCGAGGGTCATTGTCCGTCGGGCGAGGGCGAAGGAGGCATGGTTTTTGGCGACGTAGTAGTACCAGGAGAGGAATCTGTTTGAGTTGAATAATTAGTTTGGAACCATGTGAAAGTTGTCAAGTTCACGGGTTACTCACAGTACTGTGCCGGGAATATGAATTAATGAATAAATACGATTGAACATAGTCAAGATCGAGGGGTGGTTTTGAATGAAAAAGGATTGGAAATCGGCTTCGTTGATCGGGAATATCCAAGAAGCGGTTTTATGTTCGAAGTCGAGGACGTCGATGGCATGGCCTCGCGCCACGGCGACGACACCAATGTCGGCAGGAGAGAGCCACTGCGCCGTGGCTTTGGTCACCGAATAGAACAAATAGTTCATACTCCAGTAGAACATTTCGACCAAGAAAGGGAGTTTCTGCAGGATTTTGCTGTGAATGTGTTGCGCCCAGCGCGACGAGTCTCGATTCTTGATATTGATCCCGCATACAGTTTCGGACTTGGTCTGCATGTTGTTGGCGAGATTCGCATCGTTGAAATGAGCATTGCCCTCTTCCAAAAGTGTATATTCGGTCCTGCTGGAGCTGGAGTCTCTGCGACGGTTCACAATCAACGACCCAACCATGATACCCACGACCACCTGTCCATGATAATTAACACATGTTTAGCGATGCCCGTAGTGTGTGAACTTACAATAGGCTCCAGCCATGCGTGGGACGCTAACTGGGGCTTCCCCAGGTCCGGTGTCTCTGCATCCCGAATAAAGAGTGTCGCCATATTTGCGACTATAGAGGTCTATCAAAAAAAAACTATCCTCCAAAAAGCGCTAGAGACAGCAAAAGGAAAGCAAGACACAATCAGGGGGAGGAAAGGGACAGGCTAAATGCAGTCGCGTGCCCAAGAATCCTGGATGCATAATATTAATACAATACGGGATGTATTAGTATACGAGTACGACCCGTGGACGGAACGGAGTACGGAATATAATCCCGAGGTAGTGGAGATTGTCATATTAACTGTAAGAATATCTATAGAAATGTTTCACCATTTAATAACATTGTATATTATACAGACATATAAATATCATTCAAATAAGACATGTTGAACTTTTCAACTCAAAATTTCCAGGAAAAAAAGAAAAAAACTAAAAGCTGCCAAGCCCCGAGAGAAAGCAGTAAGGGAGGCGGCTGAGCAAGAAATAAGCCCAATCCTGGTTTGCTAAGCCCGACTGGTGTAAAACATGCGCCTCGCCCCTTTCAACGTCGGGAATGGATCATCTTAGGAGACCTTGGACCACCTTGGACCACCTCGGACCTATCATGTCCTATCCCGCTCACCTAAATCCGTACTCCGTACTCCGTATGGATCCAATACATAATTCCAGCCTTGGAAAATATTACCCTGATTTCGGTCGGCTTTAGCCCTATATTTGAGACACGGGCAAACTACGCCGAAACCCACTTCGTAATCGTTTAGAAACCCGGCCATGAATGGCTACAACCTTATCTTGTGTGCTTTGCATTCTATGTCAAGCTTTGAGATTCAAGGGAAAATCCAAATGTGATTCGATGAATATTAATAGACTGTACCTTCAGGGGCTGGACATTGACAGCCCCAATCTGTTTCGGGCTGTACCCATGCTTCTGACAAACTTGGAATAAGACCAAAGAAACCCAGAATGCAAGGCTAGCACACATTCTTATGAATACTTTATACATAATCACGCCGATCCCCAAGTGGAGTGGCAAAATAATTGTGAATTCGAGCCTTGGGAGATCGACGTTATCTTTGACCTCGGCTGATTCAAATGTGCAATGGCGATTGTTCTCGAATTTCGGATAGCTCCCGAGGTATCAAATATATAGATTAAATTTTAAATTTTTTAAAAGTCAGGATCTGTTTCCGAGGTGACTACGGAGTACTCCATACGGAGCACATACTTCGTATTGGATCCGTGAAGAACGTTATTCGCCCCATAACTACACGCTTGGCCCAATCACCAGTCACTACTAGGAACTAGCGCTAAAGGAATACGTACACTAAACTGAGAATCCACTTTGTATTAAATATGGGAAGCTGAAATATTAATGGTCCCATATCAAACTTGATATAGCTCTATAGGCCATGGATATGCAGATCAGGGTTTTTCCCCGCTGAGTAATAATATATGCTGTATTCAATTCAAAACAGTTAAACCATGAATAAATATACATAAATGCAATCCTTATGAGAGGTGCCAAGGTGCCAAGGTGGTTAGAATTGTATTATGTGAGATGCAAACAAATCAAACAATAACCTCCATGCTACAGTAATGTTCAAACAGGACGGGGTACACCTCAGCGCGCATCGACATTGTCGAGAACGCCAATTTTCTTTCGAATATTCACCTCACGACCGGGTACCGACATATTCGAATAGGGGGCACAATATAAAAGACCAAGTTCAACGCCACGTAAGACAAACACGAATGGTTCGCAATGCTATTCGTACTCTGCAATGCACACGTGACGTTCCAATCGGTCGCCAACAACACCTTACAGCTTTCAGGTCAGACTGTAACGTGTTGTTGATCTGATAACGTTGCAGGTGGGTTGCAGAGTCCGGCCACAGCAAAATTTAATACGATACAATCAGGTTCAAGCTCGTCTACATCGACAACGCCTATCGGGGCCGCATGTTGGTGCGCTTTTATCGCAGTTGACATTTAACCTGGGGTGGGTCTACTCTAGCACCAACACTAACACCAACACTAGGTCTGGCACTACCTCTAGCTCTAGTCGAAAGTAATCTGGTTCATGTGCGAGACAGTGTTAAAAAGTGGCATCTCGTCGAAAATTGTGACGTCGAAAGTTGTCTCGTCGGAAGACGGTGAAATGCGCGCGACAGGGATAGCGCATTGTGCGGGTTTGAATGAAGAAATTTCGCGTTATGCGCAATCCATACAGAGCCAGCTGTGTAAAATTGACACATTATATATTGACAAGATGTTGACGAAAAGACCTAGAAAAGACACCGAGGCCTGAGGCACCAAGGCTTTCAACTTTTTCTAGGAACCTGACAATCTCGGAAGACACTGTCAAGGTGTTCCTTGAGAATCACGCTTATCCGAACACTCTGTAGTTATTTAGTTAGAAGCCTCCAGTGCTGCAGGTATTCAACCCCATAAATAACCCTCAAAGTTGGAATGAGATATTTTCATTTTCATGACCTCTATACCAACTCCCTTCCTATACATACCAAGCTGTGATGTCCACGACATGCTACTATGGAACCCATAATTTCGGGCACTTGACTGGCAAATCTAATGGATTATTGACGTTGTAAATCCTCGATTATACCTCCCATAGATATATGTGTTTACAGCAGTAGTTGCCACAAACCCTACATCGCACCTGCTTCATTTCCGAATTGCACTATGCCAATGTTATATCCATGGATACCTCACCCAGCCTGACTCTCTCTACAACTCACCAGCCTCAGACATCAAGACATCCATTCGCTTCCAACCTTCCATCATGAAAGCTCTCCACCACACACGGGGATCAGGGGACTATGGAAAACTCGCCATTGCCACAGCCACCATTCTCGGAATCCTCACACTGGGGGCCCTTATATACTTACTGGCATGGTACGTTCGACGAAGACTCCGCGCCCGACGACTTCGTCGCCAGGAAAGCCACGAGAATGACCAATTCGACCAGTCCGCAGTGTCCCTAGCCGAGGACACAGGCAGGACCCTAGATGACTTCCTCATGAAGGATATCCAACCCGAACGGAACTCAATCATGTTTAACAGAAGCCGGTCTCCATCCATCACCATCATCATTGACGACGCCAACACCGTCCGCTGCAAGTCTCCATCTCGCCCTTACCTCACACAATATGATGCGGCAGCTTCTTCATCGCCAGATACACACACCCTGACACAAACCCTGTCTCAAGAATCGAGTACTGATGAGTCGCGATCAGACCAGACTCAGTGGAGCAGCTCGGGGCGGCGTTCGTCAAGCACGACGCCTAGAGCATCTACCTCGTCATCTATCGTCCCAACATCGGGATCATCCCAGATTTGGACTACGACTGCTAGCACGCCGTCAGACCAGACTCAGACGAGCAGCTCGGGACAGCGTTCGTCAAACAATACACCAAGAGCATCCATGTCGTCATCCGTCGTCCCTGCTGGCGCTGAGACGTTTTCGCTTCTTAGCCAATCTTCAAACTCGCACTATCCTCAAAGTCCTACTGGTCCACCGACAGCCCGGAGCTCGCAGGTATACACGCGTCGTTCGAATGCTGCTTCTGGTGCATCGAGTCGTCCGTCCAGTGCAGGTGTCTTGCAGGCTGCGTCCCGGATGTTCAATGAAGCGGAGGCTTCTCGGATGGCTTATTCGAGAAATACTGGCTCTGTTGGATCGATGACTCCCACTTCTCCTGTTTCCCCGGTTTTGGTGGACGTCTCGGCTGAAAATGAGCCCCAATGGACATCTGTTCCCCCGGCCCCTTTTCCTTTCAGTCAGCTTTGACCGTTGAGGATATACGGTTGATTGCTGGCTTGTCTTAGCCTTTTGGCAGTTAGTTCAACCTGGCGAGGAAAGATCGGGGTATATTCAGGTTTCATTCATGACCAAGGCACTGCTCCTTGTCTCTGCTTTCCCCTTTACCGTTAATGTCTTTGGAAGTTAATGTTCTTGGACCGGATTTCTTTTTACTGACACCTCTTATCCATTATGTATAGTGTCATGGTCTTTCCAATGTTTATTCTTTGATTATCCAATTGTTCAGTTGCATGCAAATTCGACCTGGAATTTGGGAAATATCAAGTTCAAACTGCAGCAAACACTGGCAGTCCTTTGCTCACCCCTTTTAATGTGGATAACCCAGACAAATGGCATTCACTGAGAAAATGCGTGACTTACTAGAGGAACATTCTTATTTTACGGAAGTGCAAATTATCAGTTGAAGAGCCTGAAGCAATAGCCCTAACAATACACATTTGATTGCTCATCATTTGACGTGAAAGGACTGGGTAAAATATACAGAGGTAAGGTAATACCCAAAAGACTGGGTTCAAGGACTCATTGCGTTCGTTTCATTTGCGTTTTCTGGTGCGGACCAAGCCTTCATCTTTTGTTTGCTGATCCCAGTTGATGCTTTCTTCTTTCCTTCAGTTATCATCAGTTCCAGCACAGAAGTGGAGAATCTGTCTTTAGACAGGACCCTAGACGACACCAGGGATATCGGTAAACAGAACATGTCTCTCCATAAGAGCAGCCGATTTAGCATGACGATCCGCCTTCATATTCAACTCTCTCGGAATCCGCCAGAACTGGACAGTCAACCCCCTCTCCTGCCACATCTCCACCTCACCGAGAAGACACTCCCAAAGATCCCGATTCCTGACTGGTTCCCCGGCAGTTGTGACCCAATTCCACCGTAGCCAATCCCATATCCAGCTCGTGATACCTTCGACCACATATTCTGAATCGGTTGCAATAACCAAACGAGTGAATCCTTCCGCCGCCCAGTCTCGATATCGCAGCGCTCCAATAACAGCGCGGAGTTCGGCGCGGTTGTTTGTCTGCGTGTGCTGTTGACCAGTGGGTCCTTTGTACTCGAGAGCGAAACGTGCGAAACCAGATGTAGAATCGTTGAAAACAAACGAACAGCCTGCTCTGGCGTTTATTCTGCCGTTCTCATAACACGCACCGTCTGTGTAGATGAGGAATTCGTTCTCGACGGATCGGTTGTTGGGAGTGACGCGAATGAATCGATGGATTCGCTCTGCCATTGTCACTTTAGTGCAATGGGGGAACAATGACTGTGGCGTGTCACCTGGGTTTGGAGGTTTGAATTCTGTGGGGATTACGCGGCCACTACCGACTCTGAGCTCCGTATACAAGCGAGGGGGCCTGTGGCCTGTGAAGATTGGTCTGGGGTTTGGTTGAAAGGACATGGTGATTTGGTAGCTACACGATCAAGAACCCGAGAGCTATGAGATGGACTCGCAGAAGAGAGTCTTATACGAGGAAAGATGAGAAGAGAGGATTCATTCTCTACAACTAAATAGGAAGCTACTAGTTAACTAGTTACCTAGTTACATGTGAGGCCTGACAAACCAGGCATTAACCAGGTGACTAGTTACCTCGACAGGATCCATTTCATTAGGCGAATTGTGGCGCAAAGGTATGTGAGGTAGCTTGAGCAGAAAGCAAAGAACAGTCCAGTTTCTTCAAGTTGGAGGGGAATAAATAGCCCGGACATCATTGTGTATGATTTGCATATTGAAGAGTAGAGGGACCAGCAGGGAAGAGATGATAGGTTGAAGGATGTCATGCGAAAAGACCATACCATACCCCTGGTGCGATTTCTTTCAAGTCGTCGTTTGACAGAATGAAATCTGTCTCATTCCCTCTTTTGGGGCGAAGGAAACAGTCTTCGAATTGGATATGTATCGAACCTGTGAGGACAACTTTCACTTGTTGCTCTGATTCCTGGAACCAGAACAAAACATCTCGCTGCAATTTTGAGCTCGATTTTGACCAGGCGGCTTGAACGAGAATTGTTGGCCATTTCAATTGCCTCCCATCGACTAAGCCTATCCAGGAAGAGTCTGGACACTGCCTTCTGGTAAAGCCTTCAGTCGTTCGCCCCATAGGCAAAAGATGACTTTCCTGGCTACGATGCTTGGATGAGAAAATTCCACTGAATGTACTATGTGCTATCTCATGAGCTGCAGTAGATATTTTTAGGATGAATGTATGAGAGATGAAGTTGTAGGTCACCCATGAATGGGTAAGGAGGCTTTCTGTAGATTCATCCTCGAAACACTAGAAGGAACGCTCATCCACATGATCAAATATAACATATGAGTAGTCAACGGGCTGACCGTTCCTCTCATAGTGTTTGAGTTCACGTTCAACGCATTTATAGCAATGATTTATTTCTTGAAATTGATATCTTGGTGTTGTAGCAGGAAGGCCTTCTTCTCTCATGATATCTTCAGCCATGGTAAATGGTTTGAAATGAGAGCCCTAGACGGGGGAACTGGAGGTATTGTGGGCAATGACGAATAATTATGTGAAAAGGAAATGTGAACGTGTTGTCAACGGTGTATACTTTTGATATCTAAAGACCCGGAGGACTTTTGGGGACCATCACCACAGCCGTGTGTAAGGACCACTAGAAAGACCACTGAAAATACCACTGAAAAGAGCTCAATGAGGCCATCCGCTAGATGCATCAAATCATAAGACCTAAGTATAGCGTTAGTCGGCATTATTTGTATCAGGCAAGCAACGTACAAATATTGGCTTCAAGTACAGAGAATATTCAGTTAGAGAGGAAGTGAGAAGATGGAAGCAAGACAGCGCTCTGATATCGCCCCTTCCATATTAGGCCTAATTGCCTAAGGCAAAAGAAATCAATGATCATTATATTTCATTGTCTGAGCTACACAAAAAAACAAAGGGGAAGTCCCACCTCCACGCGCCTCGCTATTCCAGTCCAGGAGACGCTTCAGACATAAAACCGACAATTAAAAAGCAACACATAAGCAAAGTTCTCGAACACATGTCCGCCATGAGATGTACAGGTAGAAAGTAGAAAGAGACACAAAAAGAAAAAGTGCTTGAGATCTATCCGGATATATCGTCTTCATCTTCATGCATTCATATCGCGCACACTGCGCAAACACCGCTCAAGACGTTTGCCGCGCTCCTTTTCGCGTACCAGGGTATCCTTAACAAATGCTCGGATGGCGTCACGGCCGACCTTCTCCCGCCATGAGGTCCAGCCAGCGAGTTCGCCGACTACGACATCCTTGTTCCACGAGACCTCCTTGGCCAGTCGAGTGGACTCGGATTCGCCATCGCGAATCTTTTGTTCGAGGTCACGGACGGACTTTTGACGAGACTCTTCGAAGCCTGGTAGGTTGATATTGAATTTGCGGGGGAGGGAGGAGGAGAGGAGAGAGGAGCGAGAGCGAGAGATATGGCGGTTTGTTGAAGAGAGGGAGGACATGAGGGCTAGTGGACGGGATAAAGAGATAAGAATTGCAGCTGTCGTGTTGTCGACGGAGGAAAGAGCTGCCAAATACTGGAGGAGAGGGGAGGAGTCAGACCGAGAGGTCGATAGGTATGTGGCGTAACGAGCAAAGGCCTCGATGTGTGAGACCGGAAGTGCATTGGTAGGCGCTCGGAGTGTAGCAAGGACAGATGAGCAAATCATCACCGCATCAGCGAGATCGGATGTTGCATTCTGCAATGCGTGCCCTCGGCGAATCAGGGAACGTGTGTTGACGTGCACACCGCGCACCATCTCCTGAGCGTGGGTGATGAACTGTTCTGTGTCACGCATACCCTCCAGTGAGACCGGAGCGTATTCGTCCGCGATGGTCTCTGTGAGCACGGCAGCCTTGCGGTGCGATCGGTCGGCTACCATCTCAGGCTGAAGTTCTGGAACGAGGAAGAACTCCCACAGCATTTCGTGAGTTGAAAAGGTTGGGTGGGCGAGAAGCGTCTTCAAGAACCGGTCCAGTCTTTCCTGGAGATCATGGAGTACAGACCGTGATGGCTTCGAGTGGATCTGGAATGGATTCCGGAAATCCGAGAGAGACGGCATATAAGATGCTGGATGTTCCACTGCAAGCCATTTAGCCAAATTCTCGAAGTCGGAAAAATTGCGGCGACAGGTCGTAACGGTGTATGTTGTCGATCCGGGTCGCGATGATGCCATAGTTTCAGAGGGTGGAAAGGGCGCGCCTGATTTGAGAATGAAGCGCACGGTTGCGTCCTCGACGAAGTACGACCGCACGACCGTTGTGACACGACCCGAAGGATCCCCACAAGCCGATGGAGGATGGGACAACAAGATCAAATCGTCGATGCGATTTCGCACCTCATCATCCTTGGCCAATTCCACGGCTGTTAAACCACGCGCTTCTTTGATATGAACGTCAACTCTTGGGTCTAAGAAGAGAATGCGGACTTGATCAACTCGCCCGTACTTGCTGGCCATCATCAATGGCGTAAATCTCTTGTCATTGGTCGCGTTGGGATCGCAATCGCTCTCCTGCAATATGCGACGGGTAATCTCAGGATCACCAACAATATGCAGCAGTGTGTTCCCCTTCGTATCAACATGATCATCAAGCTGAAGCGGTTTGTTATCGCCCTGTGCCCACTGCGCTGCAGTCAAAGCGGCTTGAACCATTGATTTGTATTCTGGATGATCATACGATCGACAAAGTGCAAAGAGCGGTGTTTGTCCATGCTTGTCTCGTTGTCGCCATGGGATGATGCTACCAAGTCTCCCTAGCAGCGAGGGTGTGCTGAAAAGATAATGGGCAACAGTGCGACCGTGAACATCGGATTTGGTCAAGTAGAATGCAACTACGCTTGTATCTGTCTTTGCAAATAAGAAGTCCAAGAGGATCTTGACTATCTCAGTGTGTGCGAGTTGCACCGCAGCATTTAATAGCGTGGTTCCGTCGACGTTGGTGTCTTGGATGATTTCTTCCAAGGGGTAGTACTCTTCTAGAGTCAACAGGTACTTCAAAGCCTCGGCTTGACGGGCCTCCACTGCCATCATCGGTATAGAATGACCAGCAGGATCTTGGGTTTTTGTCAAGGTCTCAATCGAACTGTCACCTTCAATCCCACTAGCCATGGACCCGAGGGTTGCGGTCCTGGAGATGAACGAGATGGCAGATGATTCCGATAGGCTGCGAACGTCCATTGAGACCTTCTTGATTGGACGGTGCGGGTGAGGTTCTTGGATAATCGAAGAGTCATCCCAAGTTTGAAATGGGAACACGTGGGATAGCGGTGGTGCATCAACAACAGCTTCATCCCGGTATGAGTCGCCATTGGTATGACTCGTGTAAGAGTTCTCAAGAGGGAGATCATCCATCTCATCAACCTTATCTGTTTGGAACAGTACAGACTTTCGCTCTGGTTCCGGCGGAGTCGTGTCGTCTATTGATTCGTGATCCTCGTTCGGTTCCAGTATAGATTTCATATCCGATATTTTGCCAGCCCTTGTTGCTTGCCACAAACGTCTGTTGCGAGCGCTAGCGCGCCGTAGCCCGGCGGAGTCGGTTACGAGATACATCAAAACAGCTTCAAATGTGCTTAAAGCATATCCCATCTCGCCATTATCAACATCGTCGATGTAGATAAAGTGCTGCATGTACAACAATCGAGCTTGGAGATGCCGTATTTGAGAACGAATGACAACAATAAGCAACAGTGAGACCAAGACATCAGCGTTGATCGTGACAGAAGATGTTCCCTTTTCGGACGGCGTGCCGTCCATTTGATCATAACTTCCAGGGAAGGAGATGACCTTCACTGTCCCAAGGAGGGTATTCAGCATATCATGGGGGCATCGAGCGTCATTCATCTTCCGAAATTCTTCCACGGCTCGCGCAAGTCGGCGAATCAGTTCTCGCTTTCCTTCATGTCCACCCTCAACAGAAATTCCGACTTGGGACACATCGATGCTCTCCATCTGGCGGATGCGGGCATCCAGCTCTGTGTCCTCTGGCTGGCGGAACGAACAAAGACGAGGGAAAAGTAGCGGCTCGTGAACTTGTTCGGCAACATAACGTTCTATTAGCCGCTCCACTAGAGGACCAGTGAGGTCAGTAGTCGCACCGAGCAACGATAATTGCTGCTTGTCAACAAGGCGGAAAAGATCAATAGCAGCAGTCACCGCAGTCTCCAAGCTTCGACGCATGAGGTCTTCGTCGTCTTCGAAGTATTCCTCGGAGTTAAATGGCAGTCGCCCTCTGCTGCGTGACGACCAGCTGCGGATGGAAGAGCTTTCGTCTGTCCAAGATTCGGTGCGGGACAACGTGTGGACGCGTTCACTACCGGATGCAGATGGCGATCGTGAAGGAGGAGGCGGCAGTGGTTTACCAAGTTCCTTGCCAAATTCTTTGAATAATCTTTC